GTGTACTGTAACTGTGGTTGTGATGTGACTTTATCTGCTTTGCCTAATGTAAAGAAAATTACTTCAAAATCCTTTAGAACTCAGTGAAACTAGATCATCTTTCCTCAGTCAGAGGGCAGTAACCCAATCTTTTCTGTTCTGACCACAGAAGAAAGCAAGTTATTAACTCTATGTGTTCCCCATAATGGGATCTCTGCATTTGTTTGCTCTAGAAACTTCACACACACATTTATGACTAAATTTCTCCTAGTATGGGAAATAGGGTTTATTTCATGTTTACTTAGCATTTGGTCTTCTGTCTTTTCCCTGAGTGATGGACATGAAACTGCATGAGAAAGCATGTCCTAGATGATAAGGAAGGATTTTCTGCTGTGCAATCAAGCTCTGACAGTCTGAACTTCCAGTGTGGAAAATGTGGCAACACTTTGGCAACTGGCTGCTGGAATGGGCTGTCAGCTTGGGTTTCCTTTAGCAGAAAAAGCACTTTCAGAGATGTTTTAAATAGGCACAGAGTAGCTAATGGCATCAGTGACTCTGGTGACTTTAAGCTTTATGCCATTACTCTGGGTTGATAACAGTTCTGCACTTTCAGATTTTCCTCTGCTAATGAACAGGGTGGCATTGCTGGAGTATCATCATCACTTGACCTGTCTTACAACTGACTAGACTGACATTAAATAGCCCGTTATGTTAATATTTTATCTACTTCTTGCTTTTCCAGTCTCATGTATTATGCAGCTCTTAATAGCAGTTGGCAGCAGCAAGGGATTTTTTTCTTTCTTTCAAATAGTCTGTTAGTCCAGTTCACAAAAACTAAGACTCCAAATATTGTACTAGACTTGACAGAAGTTAAAGACATTCACTTGGAAATGCTACTTCCCTAGTCATGATCATACTTTTGCATTATATGAGACACTGCTAAAAGTGCATTACAGGAGGACTCCAGCATGGAATTACTGGTATTACTATTCTCATACTAAATCACACTTTAATCAGTTCAATTTCCTCCCAAGTGGAACTGCTACTCCAAGTGGACCAGTAACTTTGCAAATTGTTGTATTTTGAGTTGCTGCCTCTGGCTCTTTGCAGCTCTAAGAGGAAGAGCAAAGAGAGAGAACAAGTGTGGTGTGACTGTTCCCTCAGCCCAAAAGCAGAGATGTGGCTGCACCAGCTTGTACCACCAGCCAGCTTACCAGTGTGAGCTGCCAGCGTATGGCAGGGAGTTAACATGGCATTAGAATTAAAAGGAGATTAAGTCTTTATCCACACTTAGGTGGGTACACAGTGTCACAGTACCAAGCCTGGGAGATTCAGAAACAAACTCAGAGAAAGCAAGTGGTTAAGGTATGTGGAACTTGCATATTACAACAGTTTCTTGTCAGCATAGAAGGGAAAGGAATGCACAGTCAAGCAAAATACTTGCTATAGTGATGTATTTTGACTGGCCAAAAGTGGCTTTATCTGAAATGTTCTTAGGTGTTTGTATGAAATAATATATTAATAGACCCCAGCTGCAAACAGTTCCTACAATTTATAGAAATTGGCAGCCTTGCAAATGAAATTTTCCATGTGCTGTCCTCTTGGATGTTTCTGGCATGGTGCTTCTCTACAGCCACTTTCCTTAGAAGTGCTGGGTAGTATTGACACAGAGCAGTACTAGCCTTGCCTTTCTCCTGTACTGTTGTCAGATGGAGTACATTGGTCAGGGAGATTTTACCACATAGAAGATGCCTTTATAAAGACCTACAATTCTATGCAACTTTCTATTAACTGAGTAAACACTGAACTGTCTTCCAGCATCATGGGTCGCTGCCAGTCTATCTACATTTTCTACCTTTATATGCACAAGGATAAACCAGCGCTTAAAAGATCTCAATCTCTAGTGTGTATAATAAATGATAATACTTTGTATCACTTTGAAGTACACTTTGTATAAAAGTTGAACTAATAAAGGGTCTACACCGTAATTAACACACTGGTTCACTTCATTCTGTACAGAAGTTTGAGTACCCTCTTTATCAGATGGAATAGCAACACTTAGGTACACTGGCCTGCAGAGCACAGGAGTCACAAATGCACTGCAATTACAGGCTTGGGGCCCTGGACTAGGTAAGGCTGCATTTTTCCTCCTAAAGGGAGCAATAAACAAAGCAAGCAGTGTTCAAACTATCCCTTCTCCAGGATTTCCCTCCCACTTCACAAGAGTGGAATTTCTGAATGGGATGAGCAGCTGCTTGGAAAGCAAAGCACTGGCAAAAATTGAGAATTCCTGGAGTACAGCATTCCAGTCCTGCACAGACAACAGGACAATGAAGGGGCAAGAAGGGAAAAATACATTCTCTGTCCATCAACTGCAGGGATCTCACCCCTAAGGCAAGTTTTTTTATGGCCACTACAAAAACTCAGGTGTGAACATGTAAAAAGAGCAAAACAACAGAGCTGTTGTATTTGCTTAAACATGAGCAATCTTGACATGGGGCGCTCAAGCAGCAATTTGCTGCATGCAGTCCTCTGCCTCCACTATCTAGACACATTCTCTTACCTGATGGAGAAGTTCCTCAGCAGAAAAAAAAAAAGGCTGAAAGCCAACATGGCACAACCAGAGACCAGCCCAGGATCTGGGCTGACAACCTGTTTATCTCCTACACCTCTCACTGTGCACCTGACCCTCCGCCACATTACAGACTGCACAGCAGCTAAAGATTATGGAAGCAAAAACCAATGCACACAACTTGTCTCACCTTTCTGCCACACACAGACTGTGCCTTTGCCTGTCTGTGCTGCACTGGAGATGTCTTCTGCCTCACTCACCCTCCTCCCATTGTTCTGCTCATCAAGTAAGCATAGGAGTCTCTGAAGTTAGCCACTTACTGGTGTTCCAGTCAGCAAGCAAAACTTGAAAATGTCTTTTTTTAGCCAGAGTATCAAAAGTAAAATTGAACACTTTCAAGTGTTACTTGCTCATGGTAGCAATCCCATTTTAAAGAGCAAACCAAGTAACACCTGAGTTTTAAACAGCATTATTTCATGCTGAATTTACCCATGAAAGGAACCACTTTGCATTGAAGAGTCACAGAACTAAATAAAAAAAGCAAAACAAAAAACATGATTACACATACTTTCTTTTTCCATTTTAACTAAATTTACAGAGATTTCGTACACAAATGTAACCAACCCTTTATTTCCTCCTAGCTTGAAAATTACTAATGTGACATGCTGTGTATTTTAAACTCTGAAGAACCAGAACTGAATATTTACACATTTATTCCATGCTTGACACTTTACTTTCCATTTCAAATTCCCTGACGGAAGCCAAATGATTTATATCCCTGCTAGTTTCAAACAGTAAAATTTCTAAAAAAATAAAACCACCTTAAACACATGGTATAAAGGAGTCAGCTTTAAAAATATTTATGCAGTACTCCTTAAAAAAATAGCATTAACAACAGTAATGCCTGTGAAAGATCCACCCATTTTAGTCATTATAATTATCAGTAAAATTACATCTCCCCATTACTTTACCATTCTGAAAATTGTTTGGCTTCCAATCCAAATCTGTCCACGTTATTTTAAATAAGGTTAAATCCTTTATGAACTGTTATTGTCCCCTGTAGGTGCACCCAGTCAATTCACAGATGTTTTCCACTTTCACAGGTTATTCAATCACCTCCCAAGCAGTGGGACAGTCTCAAGAGTCTCCACGCAGAAAAAATACAGCTAATAGGGGCCTTCTGTGTATCAAATGAAAAACCTACTTAATTTAGTCAGCCTACTACAAAGGTAAAATAATTTCAGTTACCATACTTTAAAGTATTACCATACTATAAATACTATAAAGTATTACCATACTTTAGGAACACTTAAAATAGGGTGTTAAAGTTCATGAGTCTAGACAGACACGCTGTCCAAAGTCAAAATCATGTAAAACAAGAACTGGGCTGTATTTAAGCAGAGTAAGACCTCTCTATTGCACTTCTGTATTATCAACAGACCAAGTGTAAGTGTAAATCAAACTAAGTCTGACAGTGGAGCTCATTTGCAAAGACTGCATGTGTCCTTTAGGCTACCACACCCCACCCTGTCCAAAAATGCAATGGCTACTGCAAATCTGTTAATACTATGAAACCCATGGAGCCCAAAGGAATGCAAACACATAAAACCTTATTTCACTGAATTAATATGAAAATAAATTCAGAATTTAATCAATTAGTGACATTTCTTTATGAATTCCTACTCCTCTAAGTTTTTCCTTTTGCACTGTATCTCAGTATAAGTGCAGGAACAAAATTCCAACTCTTTATACATCACTACCTCACTACATGGTTGTTCAGTTATACACCTGTGTCTCTGCCCTCTCCTCGACCATGTCAGACAGAGGAGGGGCAGGGAACAAATTAACTCCAGGTATTCTAAAGGTATGAATATCTTGATTTTTAACAGAAAGTATAAGCTGCTTTCCAATGAAATAACTCCTGTGCTCCTAATGCATAAGCTGGAGTTGCAAGATACGTGACGGAATGTTGACTTATTCTCCCTGAAGTTAGTGACAGATTTTATTGAAATTTTACCTGGTGTGGTACTTAGAAGTTTCTAATCTCATTACCCAAGTACAACAAAACCTACATAAATTACATTTACATTTGTATACTTTAACAGATTAATTATTTTCAGTCATTCTTCTATCAGTGGCTACTTCACCTGCTGGCAGATATACCTCATTCATTAATAACCCAGACTGTCTAACAAAAAAACAAAGGAATAAAAAGGGCTAATGGCTCTAAACCTGAGAGAAAAAAACAAAATTGCCTTACATACACATTTTTTAATTTTCTTGCAGCAATAAGTCACACACAAAACACTTGCACCTTTCTTATGGCACAATGAATATTTAAGAAGTCCTTCAAGTCTTAACTCAAAGAGGTGCTTTACTGAATACTGTCTATTGAAATCCACAAAAAAAAAGAAACATTCTTTCAAAAGGAACAAAAAATTTACAATTGTACACAAAAAGTCTTGAATTTTATTGAAATTTCAAGTCTTGTATCAAACAAAAGCTTTTTCTTCAGACAAAAATATTCTCTTGGTGTCCTCCAGATACCAGAAACTCTGAATTGGTCCATTAGTGACGCTGCTTTCTTTGTCATCTTCACAGAAGTCCACAAGGTTGAGCTCTCCCACCATTAGGTCTTATTTTATCGTGTGAAGGAACGTACATGACGACCTCTTCCACTGCCTCCACTAACAAATTTCCCTCTTGAGCCACCACTGCTACTACTATTAGCACTTGTCCAAGACGGTCCAATTCCTCCACGGCCTCTGGAAGCACGATCGCGAGGACTCGGTCGGTAGCCTTAAAGCAAAGAAAAGTATACTCAGTTGGAAAAAAAAAAAAAAAAAAAAAAGCCCTAGGCGGAGTAGCTGCTGCCAAAGCGTAAGAAACAAAACCAAGATGAGATACAAACAGCGTCTGTTTCCTCCTTTTAATTTTCACTTTTCTTTTACGCAAGCATTGCTGCTTTAATTGCGCTATGATTACCATGGAGGTACGAAGACAATCGAATGACAAAAGTCTGAGTGCAAAATTAAGATTCTGCGATCAAGTGTTCAATTCAGCAAGTTTTATGGGTTACAGGGCAGTTCGTACGAAAGCACGTGTTTGACACAGTCTCAGTGACAACTGTTCATATATGCTTAAAACATTTGCTGAATTTCAAGGTGTCTGCAGCATCCTTGCATGGTTTCATTTGTAAAGCAAAAATGAAATTCAAGGAATTCTCTATAGTTCGATGCCCATATGAATACCATGTACCTGCTGAACTTAATGGTCTCAGTGGTGGCAGCGGACCCCTGTTAAAATTGCTTTGACCACCTCTACTGTCATTGTAGGTTCCCCTGGGCGTACTCTGTGCACTCCAACTTGAGCCGCGAGCACCTTCACGACGACTGTAATTTCCTAGATAGGGAGAGAAAAACCAACACACTGTTGAGCAAACATCACTCACTGGATTTGGGTTTCTTCCCATTTTGATCTTCACAATAGTCAAAGTGGTAACATAATATTTACACAATTCAAATAGATAAAGATACTCTATCAACATACCTGCAGTATTCCAACTTGAAGTCTACAAGTTATTCTGCACAGAATCAGGGGAACAGAGCTCTTTATCAGGCAAGGACTCAAGTTTAAAAGAATCCACATTATCTAAAGTATTAAGACAGACTCTTATACTATCAGATTTTGTGGTGAAATAAATTCTAGTATTTTTAACTTTATAAATAGAAGTATTTTCTGTTTCTACTTTACAAGGACTTGCCGTAATTATGGGATGGAAGGAAAAGGAATGCAATCTTGTCTATGTATTAAAGAAATTTAACACTTTGTAGGCTACGATCTCCAGGTTTGCTGAAAACTGCATCTTATTCTTGTCATGATCTTCCATCCTTTTATTCCAAAGCCTCTTTTAAACCCAGAGATGTACTGTGGTGCTTGATTTCAGGAACTACAATGTCACAAAGGGCACGGAAGCACTCCAAGAGTTGCTAAAACTCCTTTTGTAAAAGAGAGGCAGAAAGGCAGCATGAGAAGTCAGAGCCTTGTTTCAATTGTACAGCTTTGGAGGTTCTCACCTTCAAGAGAATCTTTCCTGCTGCTAAACAACTCATTGCAACAACACTGCTTCAGGAAGATCTCACACTGGGGATGATGAACTGCTAGGAAATTGGGTTAGTATTACTGAAGCAATTTTAGCATGCCTTTACTCCAGTTCTAATACAGAAACCAACATACCTTTTGAAGCAGGTGGTGTAAAAAACCTGTTCTGACTGTGAAAAGCTCCTCGTCCTCCACGATTCCCCGAGAATCCACCACGCGAAGAAATCTTCTGTGACACTTTTGGTGGCCTTTTGGCTGGTGGTATCCCATCTGGAGCAACCACTTCTTTGCTCTCTGCAGCAACAAAATCATCCACATGCATGGAGGGTGGCCTGCTTGTGTTCTGTTTCCTCTGACGGAAGATATCATGCGGTCGAATTCCTTGTCCAAATCCTCCCCTTCCTCTTCCTCTGGGTGGTGGCACAACATGAGCTCTCTTTGCAGGCTCTATGTACTCAGATTTCCCACTGTCATGACAAACCATGATTTAGTTAGCTAATATAACACTGTACTTCTGATGGTCAGGCATTCTCCATATTTGAGACGCAATTTGAAAGGTATTTGACAATTTGACAACATACAAAACAATGCTGAAGACAGCCTTAACTCATTAAACACATTTTACCTTGAAGTTATGAAGGTCTCATGCTTGTGCTTGCCAAGCTTGAACCCCTTTGTGGTTTTTGTGCGTCCAGGAGATGATGGTTCTGACAAAAATGACCTCTCCAATTCAGCTTGCAAGTCAAAGTCACTGCAGCCCTTCTCTGACAGTTCAATTAAGTCAACTTTTACCTTCAAAGAGAGTTTAATCAAAATGGTCATTACTAGCACCTCCAAAAAAGAAAAAAAAGAAAAAAAAAGAGCAGTAACAAAGTAAAAAATGCAGCAGAGCTGCAGCAAAATTATCTTGCCAGATCTGAACACAAAAGCAGTGAGGGGCATAGCTCTCCAATATGAACATCTGTCTTGTCACTCAATGACCTGCAATGGGACAATTCTCTTGCTTAAGCTATAGCCCTACTAACTTATTAATGTCACTTTTATACAGTTTTGGTTTTACTTGAGAAAAAAATCTACGTTTTTTTTAAACTATAGTAAAAACAAAACTCTATTTGCATGTAAATTAAAGTAAAACTAAAAAAGAATTAAAGCAATGAAGTAAACAGAAACTGATTACTTCTCACACAAGAAATTAAGACAATGACAATTCCTTAGTTCTAAAAAACTAGGAATGCTACTGTGTTTTTCACTACTAGCTTTAAAGTGTAGATTATAATAAAGTTTCAACAAGTATGAAAAGCTTTTGTGCACATAGTTTCATTTCCTACTGCCATGTTTCCCAGTTTTGTCACATCAGAGCAAATATTTAAATAAAAAAAGCAAAGCTATCAGGATTGTGGCTCTTACTGCAATGACAGAGGACAAGCAAGAAGAAACGAAATCACATTCTTTTCTACATTTAATACAAACTGATGAAAAGCCTCAACAGCAGTGCAAAAGCAGTTTGGGACCGACACAGCAACTGTTCTCCTAGGGTACTGCAAAAGACCCCAATTTTGTAGTGGCTTCCAAGTCAATCCAAAGGCATTTGATAACCCATTTAACAAATTCCAACCTCTCTATCTGGGTCAAGTTAGAAAGGTGAACTCAGGAAAACAACCATTTGGCCATATGAACTTCTGATGCTACTTGTTCAGATTAACCCTCATTTTTAAATCCACTTCAGATACGTTAATGAAGCCTTTTACCATATCCAGGTCAGTGTCTATTTCTTCAGCCTGAAAGGGTGAGAACCACATGGACTTCAGCTGGTCATCCATCACATCTGCCAACACGTATGTAGTCCTACAACAAAACAATGCCAAAGGCCTGTTTGGTTATGAACCACAGCCAACTGCAAGCGTACACAGCACCACAGAACCTGGGGTGAACACCACTGCCTTACCCGTGATACTCATGTGATGTTAAATACATTGGACAACTGGGTAGTAGTGACAACAGTGCTCTTTAGATCCTGTTTTTAATATACTTAATTTATGTATGCATAAATTACTCCATTTTCTCAAATAAATCACAGGCAGCCTGCTGACACACTCAACCATTTTACCTGTTGTTAAACAAATTCTGAAGAGAGTCTGGTGCAGAAAGAGTAGGCTCAATATCTTGGTCACTCAGTGGACAAGAATCACCTGCTGATTCCAACATCTGTCTTACTCCAACAATGTTGTCCAGCAAGGATTCAAGGCCATCATCTTCCTTAGAACGATCCTATGTCAACACAGAACAAGTCGGATGTTTTTCCCCTCCTCAGAGAAGGACTAATGTTTTGCTTATTTATTAAAAAAGGGGGAGGTACTATACAACATTCTATCTAGCCACAAACAGTGAAGCTAAGACACCCGAGTACATAAACAACAGCAGAAGGCTCCTCAGTGTGGCATTAAACAAACCATGTCACCACATGCACGTTCTAGGTTTCATTCCCAGCTGATACAATAGCCTTTGTAACATCCCAAGGAAGGCACTGCCCCAGGTTTTATTTAAGGAGTTCTCTGTTAAAGCATTCCAATGTCCTGTGTCTGCCATTCCTTATTCAGAACAACTGTGGCTTTTCATCCCTTAACTAATAGATGTAGGCAGCCAGAGAAGGGACAGGAGGGAATACAGCACTTGAAAGTGTGAAAATGAAGTGAAAGTGAAATGAAGTGTGATCAACAGGCTGTGGAGCAGCTGTTTCATGGGCTCTCTTAAATTAGTCATCTACTGCATGGCTGCCATCAGTTATACAAAATCAGATTTGAATATCAGAGTTAAGTTTGCAATTACATTATAATTGCAAATAATATTAATAATAATATAATTAATCATAGAAAAGTTGGATGCATTGAATTCTGCATGGCCTCTATTCCAGTCCCCACCATCACTGCTTGAAGCAGCTATCAAACAAAGGCAGATCAGGTCAGCCATTACTTCATCCAGTCATGTCTAAAAAAAGTTCCAGTGACAGAGAGCCCACAGCCCGACTGACCTGTTCAGTTCTTCACTTTTCTCTCAGTGATTTTTTACCCCCCCCCCCCCCCCCAAATGTCAACCTGAACTTCTGAAGCCACAATTTGGGGGCATTACCCTTTATCGTCTGGAATTATCAAAAGAAGTTTGATTCCACCATCTTTGTTACTATCTCCACAAACAGCTGTGGCAAACTCTGAAATAGCTCCTGAGCCCTCTACACCAGAGGCTGAACAAGCCCAGCTTCTTCCTCCTCTCTCTCTAGCACATATGCTGTAGGTGCCTGACCACCTCGGTAGAACCCTCTTCAGTTTCCCCAGGTATCTCTAGAACTGGTAAGAGGGCAAAGCTGGTCAAAAGTGAACACAACACTCCACGTGAGAGCTCAGCAGCATCCCATGGAGGGAGACAATAAGGCCCCTGGATGTGCTGACCATGCTCCTTCCAGGATGGATCAGAACACACCCTCACCTGTTTCTAGTGACCGTGCACTGTCGGCCCACATTTAACCTATCAACCAACATAACCACCTGGCCCTTTTCAGCCCAGCCTGCAACAAGGCATGGGATTATCCTGCTTTCACTACAGACCTTTGCATTTTTCCTAATGAACCACAGAAACTTTCTGCTAAATCAATCCTAAAGCATTTATTGACGTCTCTCTGGATTGAGGCTTTGCTATATGTCAGATTAGTCACTCCCCCTCCTACTGGCATCCACAGACTCACTGAAAATGTATCCATTGTTCAGGCCTCTGATGAAAACATCCAACAATATCCAGCCCCCAGAATTAATTCCACTTGTTACCAGTCATCAGTAACATTGAGCCACTGCTAAAATGGGGTTCCTGTTGTTTATTACATTAATAATCTGCTTCACCACTACCCTACACCCTCTGCTTGTGCTGCCTTCCATGACACCTTTAACTGTCTGGGCTCTCAGGATGTGCTAATAGAAAACTGCAACATCAACTTGATTATTTGAATTATTTTACCATAACATGTTTCTCCAGATCAAGAAGCAGGTTTTCTGGGGTCTCTTCTTTGTTCTGCAGTAGATGTTTTAACTCTGCAGTGGTAAGACCCAGTGTTCTGCCTGAATGGGATCCATCTGTTTCCATAAGGCTTCCATCATCTCCACAACATCCCTGAAATATTTAACAGGGAATAAGTTGGGGGATAAGTACTCATAAATGTTCAGTATTTCTGGACTGCAAACCCCTTTGAATTCAAGCACACAGAGCAACTCTAGCAAAATTAGTTATCTCTTGATTTAAAAACAGTACACATCAATACAGCAGCTCTCTAACAGGATACTGTCAAGCTAAAACTGGGACACCACGCCATACTATTCACTTAGGAAATCAGTATGAACCAATATGCCTTTCTTCCTACTGAAAAACCCTCTTACTGACCATACATCCTGCCTAGCTTTCACAGATTTCATTAAAAACTAAAGACGGCACTAACACACTACTGATGGAAAAGCCTTACCCAGCAATCTGCAGAATCAACTGCTTTCTGAAATAATTGTTCCTGAACAAGCCTCACACTGCAGATTTCAAAGAAATGCAGCCGAGTTTAAGCATTCAATACATATTCACTTACCAGCGTATCAGAGTTTAGAATCTGTCGCATAAAATCCAAAAATGAAGAGGCCAGTTCACCTGTGTCTTTGCTGAAACTAGTTATTACTCGCTTTAATACAGTGTACAGAGCATTGTTGTGTTTTCTTAGAGAGCTGTTTTAAAAATAAAAAGAGAAATAATTTATTAGTACACACATTGTGACTGTTCCACCATAACTGATTATGAGAAAATGACGTATATGCAAAATAAACTCGGCAAATTTTACAATTATCAAGTTCAGCCATGATTACAAAGCCAGAGCTTCATTATTTTCTCTGTACTAGACCCCTGTTTTCACCAGCACTGTCTACAGATATTTCAGACTGCACATATACAGCTATATATACTACCTCCAAAACATTCAAGAAATTACAACTTCATCTTTGGCAGAAAAGAGACTGAAGTACAGAAATATGTGTTTGCACAAGGACCTTATGTATGAAGCAGGGTCATGCTTGCAGCTACAATTTCACTCCATCCCATGATGTCCAACTGCAGAAAACAAACTGTAAAGGCTACACAAACAGAAATAGCAAGGCTGTGCACTGAAGCTGACAGCTGGACACATGGGATCACAGAAAGAACAGCATCTGTAAGTTGCTCATTTTTCATTGGTGATTGTAGGGCTTCTTGCATCCAACAGAATGACTTTTAAGTGTTTTGAACAACCTTGTATTGATATGGCTCCTTTTTCTCTCTGCAAATATCACTTTTTTGCCTCTGCACTTCAGCTTCAGCGAACAAAACAAGGCCAAATATAGGACAAAGAATCAAGTCAAAACAACACAATATTGTCCAATACATGTATATATTTTGTTCACAGTGAGTGGAGTTAACAAAAATAGTTTGTAAAAAAAACAACTCTTTTCTAAAGCCGTAATTGTCGGGAGGTCGAAACACTCAGGGAAGTGTAAACTGAATCCCCTAAAAATAGAGGAATTAGAAACAGTTCTCCAATGTTCCAGATGAGAGCTCTTTGAGTGTCTCAAAAGAGAAAGAACAAGAGCACTATAACTCATTCTAATCCTCCCACCATGGAGTGCAGAAACAGTGTACAAACCTGTTTTCAATGTTTTGTCTCTTTCTTGAAACTAAAGTGCTTCTGTATGCATACTGCAAAAGTTATTCAGAGGGTGAAGAAAGACCAAAATACTGAATAAAACACTGAAGCCCCAAAGAGAAACAAAAGTTTAGTTTTGTTTTTACACAAAAGTTTTAGTTTTGCCTTATCCTCAACATTTTCTACTAAGCATGTTTTTAAACAATTTTACAATTGTTTTAAAACATGCTTAGTAGAAAATTAAAAATTAATTACAATTAAAATTTCACTATTTTCAGCTGTCAGTGATATCATAAAAAACCATACCTCTTCAAGTGGTAGAAGCCATAATCATGCTCTGTAAGGAACATCATTGTTCGGATGCATGTCAGCAGACAACTGTAACTGCTCTCAGAATTTGTTAATGTTTCCATCAGACAGTCACAAATTAAGGGCATCAGCTCTTTGCTTGGTAAGGAGTTGGAAAGTTGCTCTAATTCAGACACAGAGCCTTCTGTTGAACTTGGTAAAATAAGTGCAATATCCTAAAAGAATGATCATTATACATATAGTAAAAATGCATTCTGTATGCCTGCAGTAAATATAAACCTTACATGAAGTCAGAAGCACTGGGTTCTTTCACTATCATAATTTTATTCCAGTATTTCAGTTATTACTGAACAGCAAAATACTAATCCAGAGTATTCTTTTTGTTCAGTTCTGTTAAGGGTTACACTCCATTATTTATTTCTAAAACATCAAAGTTTCAAATTCTGAAATACTGCAGCAGAGCTGAAATTAAAGCCAAATAGTCACTGGGTAACATACACAGTTTCCTATCTAGATATAGTCAATGTGTCTCTCAATCTCAAAACACTGGCCAAAGAGGCTGAAGTTCCTTGGCTGGTTCAGCCTGGAGAAGAGAAGGCTGAGGGGTGACCTCACAGCAATCTACAAGTGCCTTAAGGGGAGCAGCAGAGGGGCAGGTGCTCTCCTCCCTCTAGTGACCAGCAACATGACACAAGGAAATGGAATGAAGCTGCATCAAGGGACATTCAGGTTGGACATTAGGAAAAGGTTTTTCACTGAGAGATCGGTCACTGGAACAGGGTCCTCAGGGAAGTGATTAGGCATCAAGCCTGTCAGAGAGCATCTAGATGACACTATTAGTCATGGTTTAGTTTCAGATACTCCTGTGAAGGGCAGGGAGTTGGACTTGATGATTCTTAGGAGTCCCTTCCAATTTGCGGCAGTCTTTGACACCATGGTTCTGTGAAAATTAAGTGGCTGCAGACACTACCTAAGAAGTTTAGGACTTTCTGTCACTTGCGTATTTTACATAAAATAAAACAAGATTAATTTTCCCAACAAGTTTGCATGGAGAGATCTTGTTTATATGCATATGGATGATTACCTCTACTGACCAACAACAACCAAATGTCTTCTGTGTAACTGGGTAAGCACTAGATCAAATGAATATATGCACTAGTGAGACAAAAAATGACATGCAAATCTGTGCACACATTACTGAGAAACTACAAGGCCAGTCTATGAATCAATTTTCAACTAACATTTCTTACCTTGCTCTTGTAACTTCTGCTTTTTTTTAATGGAGTTTTACAGTACCAGCACGGCATACATATATTTAGAATACATTTTCAAGAGGTTTCAGTTAGACTACTAAGAGATATATATTTATTTAACTAGGTAAGAAGTGAACAGTGACAAGTTTTGTCAGTGGCCCACATGGAGAAATGGCATCCCTCTGTCAGCTGATGGGACAGGAAATCTTTGTGCCATTCAGTTTCTGGTCTCTATGAGCTACCAGAACAGTGCACACAATGCAGAAGACATGTCACAAAATGGAAAGTATTTACATTCAAGAACAAGAAGGCAGCACGTCTGCCAAAGTAGTCAACCATGCTACTTGTAAATTATGTAAATGAGGTAAAAAATGTTGAAAAAAAAGGGGTACTTAAGAAACAACCTCATTTAATTTGTCTCCCGCAATAATCAACATACATTATATATTATATGCATTAAATATAGGAAATACCTGATCACAGAGGGACTGCAAAAGGGAAGTTACATATTCAGCACACTGTTGATGAGTGACATTGTCCCCAGCTGATCGCATCAAAGCCAACAGCTCCTGGAAAACCTCTGCATATTTTTCATCTCCTTTAGTAGTTCCACTGATAAGATGCAAAATAGCCAATTTGCAAGCTTTATGTGAAGCCAGGGCATCCAATAAAGCAAGCAGTCGAGTGGTCTGTCCAGTGTACTGCTTCTCTTTATCTTCTGTGTTGCTGAAAGAGTATCAGTACACTGTTAAAAAGCTGTTTTAAAGTGATCTAAGAAACTATAAAAACAACCATCACAGGAATCATATAAATCTGCATTTTAGAAAAAAATCACCTAGTTTGCATACTTAAATTTACAGTTCCATTTACTTTTTGAAAACTGCTCAACTTTCACTAAAGAACTTCAGGTCACATCATTAATTAATCTACTATGTATTTAACATACTGTATTGTATCTAATTGTGTAAGATAAATATGCTGTTACATAAACAGTATCTAAGTGTACAATTATGCTTTAAAGAAAGAGTACTCATAGTTTCAAAATCCTTTGAACCTGTATCATTAAACTTCCTCCAGTTTACAAACATCTATACACATATGTAATCCCAGTACAGCAACCTTTACTGGCCTACTCTTCTTATTTATGTCATACAGGTCCTTAAAAGCACTTCACAGGCAAGATGAGGCTTTGCAAGGACAGCCTCAAGAAAATCTTCCTAAAACACTTACCATAAAAATGAAACATGAAACTGTCTACATCAAAACTTAGAGGTATGAGCTGGTTCTCTGGCAACATTAAGCATTATCAGGACACAGCATATAGCACTGGAATGAGAATTCATTGATCCCATGATGAATAATATTTCCAAAATTATTTTCATCCTGCTAAATCTACTGCCCAGAAGCAAGGAGAATTTAACAGTTCATTAATGGAATCTTAGCAAGAGAAAACAAAAATACCTTTGGAGGTCTTCTACAATTAGATCCAATACCGTCCTCATGATGAGAAGAGCAGTAGGTGAAGCCAAGTCACACAGCTGAACACAAATCCGCCTCAACATATGCTGAATGGGCTGGCAAGACGAACCAGAGAAAGATCGAACGATCTCTTGTATCAGCTTGGCCTGCACGTGAAGGTGCATACTCCACAGCTTCCTGGTGTTGAGTGCCACTGCAATATCATGGGCTTCAATTACCTGCAGGAACCAAAGGGCAGGAGGGTTTTTCCTGTCAATTTTTATGGTAAGACCTGAATTCTATCACAATGTATAAACAAAGATGAAGTACAAGTACTGCCCTCATTAAAAACAGGAAATGCCATTTTCATTGTCACCAAATGACAGGGCATGAGCCAGCAAATTAGGTATTCCTTCAGAAGCATGGATTATCACACATCTTTTATGCTTACTTATTAAAGATCACAAATTCAAGATCCACGACAAAAGAAAGAACAGCCTAAATATACCAGCATTCAGAGTTAAAGCTTCAGAATCAGTCATTTAAGTAACAGAACAGGAGTCTAGATAATCTCACAAGGCACAAAAGAACAACATATGACTGCTAACTTAAGAAAAATGCTCCAAATAACACCAATTTTGTTTCTGCTGAAAAAGACTTATCTATAAAGAATCTGTATGAGCACAAATGCTTTACAACAACTTTAATTCATCCTACATCATCATACATGTATCTGGTTTTTTCCACCACTAAAGGGTTATATATAAATAGTAAAAATTCTTTAAATACATCCAAGCTATACCTGAGTAGTCTGCATGGGCAGTGGAAGAGGCAACAATTCGGAAAGCAATATAAGTCCAGAGAAAAAGCCTTCAGGAATTCTCAAAATTGATGAGAGAACCTCCTTCAGCATTAAAGACCAAGTATTGTTCGCCAAAGTTTCCTCAGAAATGGTAAGTTTTTCATTAACACCTTGTGTAAAAGTCAGTAAGATGTCAACAATGTCATTCTGGATTTTTTGTTCATCACTATCTAAGCGGCCTGAGAGAGGAATAGAGCAGAGGAGCATGTGTAAGGAAACGAGTGCTGCAGGAACACGCATGTCCTTGAATTCAAAGGATCCACCCCGCAGCAGTTCTGTTAGCATTGTTTTAAGGAGAGTAAGTGTACAGCGGGCCATGGAAATGGTAGTAACTCTGTGCAGCGTGGTGCCCATGTTGACGTGGAGTCGCCAAGGCTGAATAAGGATGCTGTTCAGCTTCTGTAACACCCGGATGAAAGTGTCCATTCCCTCAGAAGAGAAGAGCTGAATAACTGCAAGATTCCATTTAAGGTCCTTCTGTTGACCTGTACAGAAAAGAAGTAACATTTCTGTATTTCTAATTTCTCCTGGGCAATCACAGTTACACTTTAGCCAGGTTTAAGTAGAAGACTCAGAAAACTAAGATTTGTACTTCAACCAGCCATACCTTCTACCAGAGGTGGTGGGCACGCAATATGACAAAGAACACGAAGTGCAGTGGGAAGACCAACTCCATCTGGGGTCATCAAACTGTCAATATTCTTTCAGAGGAAAAGAAAAAGAAAAAAGGAATGAGTCTGTATTACAAGGAAGGCCTTAATGAGTATATTGCTTGCTTAGTATCCAAATTCTGTATTTCTGTAAGTATGTCACAAAATTTAAGTTTAGCTATTTCACCTTTTGGTTAGCAGTCAAATAAGGCAGGAACAAAAAAAAAAGAGCATTAACATTTGCATTGTGATTTACAAGAAGATAAGAGATTTAAATAACTAGATCTTTGCATCGTGTATTTACTTTAGATTTTGTTTCAATAAATATAACAACACAAGACCCAGCCTAGCTCAACAGCTTTAACAGAAACATATCTTTTGGATAACAGTATCTATTTTTAAATATCATATATTAGTACATATCTAAGACAAAACATCAGACTACAAAAGGTCTGAGCTTTTGAACATAAATAAAAGACAACATCTACCTATATTTTACTGACCTGCTTGATATATTCAATAAGATTTGGAATACAATTTATTTCAAATCTAAGATTTTTCAAAGGTTCAAGCCACTTGCTGAGCTCTGGGAAAAAAAAACAAACCTTAAGTCAGTGAATTTATGATCATAAAACCTTTGTCAATCAAAATGTCCTTAGTTTACACAATAGGTACTAAAACCAAGTGTGAAATTTGTGGAGCACATAGTGCAGCTGTACCCAGCTAAAAAGCACCAACAAAAATGAAACTTCAGGACAGCAATGTGTTATGCACACTCACAATATTTGGCTCAAGTTAATCGGAAGACAATTAATTTTCATCTCATTTATCTGCATTATCTGTAATTAAACATTTTTTACAAAAGACATTAAGGGGCACTGTCAGCTAAAGTAAAGAACTAAAACACATTCCCCTTAATGTACAGAATAGGTTATTACAAACCGAGTACAAAACTTTTATTAAGTTCCCAGACAGAGCCAATCTCTGCCCTGCACTGTACTCATGCTATAAATCCTTACAGATTATCAATCTCTCCTAGTCTAGAATAACCTGAAAGTCCCTGGTTCCTGGGATAAGAGATTTAAAGATTTAAAGCCGTTGTTCCTGAAAATATTTATAAGAACATGAAGATCAAGTGGATATGAATTAACAACTCAGACTGATATCATGATTTAATAAACTAGCCCTGCTTCTCATGAAGCGGTCTGATGATCAAGTAAGGAGTAAAAATAAGAGCATAACAATAACATGACATAACATTTTGAAACTAAAACTTTGAAGAATTCTGTCTTCTTTCACTGCATTTAAGTTTTGGAAGAAATTATTGGTATGTCTACATGAGATGGTTAATCAGTGCAGAGCACTGTCCAACTTTGGACATCAGAGTTTCAATGTTCAGGTGTCAGAATAGTCCCCAGCAGGGTTTTTCTGAGTGTCCCAGGCCTGATCTGTAACTCAACGCAAGCTGGGAACACACCAAGACACAGTTTAGACATCAAAAGATGTAGTAACAGGGTAACATGGACTATTCCATGCCAACTGGCCTAGATGCCTTAAAGCAGTCCCAGCATTATTTATTCGTAAAGATCCTGTCAGACTATATTACTGTCCAGGTTCCAGCTGGGATAAATAGAGCTTATTTTCCTCCTAGTAGCTGGTACAGTGCTGTGGTTTGGATTTAGCATGAGAACAACATTGATAACGCACTGATATTTTGGTTGTTGCTAAGCAGTGCTTTACCCTAAGTCAAGGACTTTCCAGTCTCATGATCTGTGAATGAGGAGCTGCAGAAGAAGCTGGGAGGGAGCACAGCCAGGAGAGCAGACCCAAACTGTCCAAAGGGATATTCCATACCATAAGATGTCATGTTCAGTATGAAAACTGGGAGAGATGCCTGGAAGGGGCTGATCACTTCTTGGGGAGGGGCTGGGCATTGATCAGCAGGTGGGCAACTGCACAACGAATCACTTGTTTTCTGGGGTTTTATCTCTTCTCTCCTTTTTATTACAATTATTATTGTTGTTATCATTAGTATTATTGTATGTTACTTTTTTTCAATTATTTATTTTCTTATCTCAATCCACGAGCTTCACTTGTTTTTCCCTGATTCTCCTCCTCATCCCATTGAGGGGTGGATGGCAGAGCGAGTAACAGTGGTGCAGTGTTTAATGTCCAGTGGGGGCTAAACCAGAACAATAGCAATAGCAAACAAAAGCAAGATTCAGCTCACTGACAAGTTAGTCCACCTTTACAGAAATTTGCTCTTCTATTATCAACACAGTTCCAGTAGTTTCAAACTTCCTGTAATTATCCAAAATTCATGGTAGCTATTTTACTTCAAAAATAATTTAACTATAAATAATTCCCTATTTAAGTCTCATTAACAGAAAAAAAATTGCATATTATCTCAGTGACTCAACTAATCAGATCCAATTAGAAAAGTAATTTCATTATCCAAGCCAGACAACTATGAAGCACCAACTATTCACATAAAAAAAGATTTCTTCTATACATTCAAACAATTCAGTTGATAATTACACATACTGTACCTTGCAACTTGGTGTTATTTTCATCTGCTTTACAAAGCTTCAGCAAAGGTGCTGAGTGCTGTTCCAGCATTTGGACATCACTGGAAGATTGTACCACCAGCAAAACAAGGATGCACGCATAATTATAAGCAACTGACTTCTTAGACTTTGAATCTCTGAAACAACAAGGATTTTCTTTAGATCTCAGCTAATACAACTGGGCATCTGTTAGATTTTCATTATCTGACCCCTAAAAATCTACCTACAGAACTTCTACATTCACCAAGGATTGCCCCATATAATTATCAATGAAAGAAACCCATTTTCCTCCTATACTTTTTGAACACTGCTGCATTATACACATTATGCACATTCATATTTGCTTCAGCATCAACAAACTATGAGATCCAGTCAAGTGGCATGCAAACATTTCTATGTAAATTCATCTGTTTCACAAATCATTTTAAAATCACTGCTACCTAAAGTAGTACAACTGCCTGTCCAGAAAAAACAATGACTGCATTTAACATCTCCAAGAACTTGAAGAACTGAGAGATTCCCACCCCAGAGTAGTGTGCAGTACTCTCTCTGTACCCAGTCAAACCTTTTGCTTGTTTCACAGGCAACATTTTATGCTTGAATGAAAACTGCCTACTTACTGATTTTTTGTCACATAACCAAAAGTTTGCCCTACATGTATTACAAGAACTTTGTTGATGACCTACACAGATTTGGGGTATTAAGTACCTGACTACAAATGACAGGCCTGATTTTGTATTACATACTTCTACTTAAAAGTTCTCTTGGTTTTAAATAAAAACATCAGGATCTAAAAGAAAATTATTTTAGATTTACTGAATAAGAGATAGATACTTTTAAAATGAAAAAAACTAAAAGAAATAAATAAATGCACACATTACCCTAAAGCTTCTTTGGAATAGTACTCCATTAAAGTAATAAGACTTTGGAGATTTTTTTCCAGACTGAATACATGAGCCACAGCAGATCTTCCCACAGGGTTAAAGGTGATCAAGTAAAGGTTGTGAAGTGTTCCCAGCAGATCTGAGTGGTCAGTCTCCTCGCTGGCTGTGCACCGCTGGAAGTGGCAGAACAATTCTGAAATGCACTGTAATGTCTGTGTTGAATGGAGGAGCCACAGGGCAAAAGTGTCCTCGTTGGCACCGTCTGACTGCAGACCTTCCTCTTGTTCTGGATCAGAAAACTGACAAAGTGCTCTAACCAACAAGTTTGTTGCTTCGTGCTCAGAAATAAAGAAAAGAAGACCCTTCTGTGACTGTGCCAGAAAACGCAATATATCTCGGATAGCCTGAAGCACACCTGGATGTGCACCTGTCACTGGAAGAGACAGTAGCAAAGTAATGCATTCCAAGAAATGATGACTATGAAGATATCTGAAAAAAAAAATAAATCCAAAACCAGGAAAACAATCAGCAATGCTACAAATATTTGTCAACACTGCACAATAACATTATATAAAACTACATATCTCCTAACTTCAGTATTTATTGCTCTGTGGACTACAAGAAATAATAACTAATTATGAAGTACTACAAAATTTAAACCTTGCAAAATGTAACTGCTATGCTATTTACAAGAAAAATGTCCTAAAATTCTGATCTCCATTAAACCCTCCCCCCAAAAAAAAACCCTCAACCATATCTACACACAGAACAGGACACTGAATTTTATTAAATTGGCTGCATCTGAAAAACCATCAATGCCAGATTCAATGTTTAAAATGTGCTAGGAAATCAATCATTATAGCACATCTAGCAGGCAATTTTTGAATACTCTTTGCATGTAGATGTTTATATTCAGCCATGAGCTACACCACTGCTACGAAAGAAATCAGTCAGCATTTAGAGAAACACTTTCTAGACAGAAACTTGCTAAGAGAGTAAGAACCCATGGGATATTTTAATTGGCTGAAGGCAGGAAAGCCTCAGCTGCTCTGCCTGTGCTGCGAAAGTGAGCTCTAGTGATAAACTGCATGACCTTTTCATGAATCTGAGCCTGGTTTGCATCTTGCCACATGCAGACTGAATAATTCCAGATCTATTTTATCCGTACACAAAGACATGTTCCAAGATGTCAAATGAAACATTCTAGATTTACAACCATTTTAAAACAGGACAGCACCTAGCATAACCTGTCAGCATCTACGAATGCAACTGAAGGACAAGCACATTACCAGTAATAAGGAGATGTTAACTTCTGGCTAAGTGCATTCTAGGTCGATTGAAAGCCAAGAAAATAACAGGTATATAAACTTACCAAACTCTCTCAGACCTTATATGCACAATCTAGAATCTTCCAATAAAGAATTAAGTGAAATACCTAGCAAAGTGTTATTCAAAAAAGTCACCCTTGAAATATACCTCTATCAAGCTGGAGGAAATAGACTCTAGAAACTGAATTTGCAACTGCCATACCTAAACAGGACAGGGTAAGGATCATCCCTTTCTGGAGGGCCTGTAATGCGTGCCATGGTTGGGAAAGATTTCACAGGTGGCTGAATCATTGTATGAGGAGCAGTCTCCATCAAATGGAAGATCTCTTCAAGAAGACTAACAAGTTTTTCCATGTCTCCTTCACTTATATTAGAAGATTCCAAAAGATGATCCATGTCCATAGGAGCTTCCACATCATTTTCATATTCTTGGTTGGTTCTTTCAAGTCCTGACAAGTCCTGGTCCTGCTCTGGCTCTGTGTGATTAGGAAGTGGAGGAGTGTTCTCTGCTAACTGATCTACCACCTTTTTAATGTCTGACAGAATCTCATAGAAGTGACATTTCTGGAGAATTGCAGAACCAGCTGTAACAACTCGCACAGTCTGATCCAACAGTATGAGTTCCAGGAGTTTCTGATAACCACTTTTTTCATGTGCATCTGTGCCACCTCTTAGAAACATTTCCATTCCCTCGGTCATACTAATGACACTATCCAAAGCTTTAAAAGCATTAAGTTTAAGGGAGGATGATACATGATCTGCAAACAACAGTTCAAACAACACATTAATAACTCCTGCCTGCAAGAGTGCTGTTATTCCTTGAGTCCCACATTCTGCTAAGGAAGATACCAACTTTGTCCCAGCTTTCAGCTGCCGAACGTTCAAAGCAATGGGCTGTTTGAGAGCCACCTGAAGGTTTAAAGCTTGCAGGGTCCAGTCTACTAGCTGGGTAATATAGTCTTGCTTTGTGTCTTTCACCAGCAGGTAGCTCAATTCTTTTACTATTAAACTTGGAATTTCTTCTAATGCAGTGACCCACTTTGCACCCCTTTCCTCCTGATATAATTCCAACAGTTCAGTTAATTTAAATGAGCCTTCCACTGCCCCTGAACCTTCTTTTTCTTGATCTTGGTCCTTAATTTTAGCAACTTCATTTTCAAATACAGTCTTGTAAGGGCAGCTGAAGTATAAAAGAGGTCCAAGCTCCTTTTCAAAAGGTTCATATGTCACAGGAGGCACAGATGCCAGATCCTCAGGAGTATATTCAATATCGAAGCTTGGATACTTAAATGTTTCACGTTCCAGATCAGCAATTACATCTTCATCACTTGAAATCTGCTCATAGCCATCATCTCCTATAAACAGAAAGATTAAGTTACCAAATCAGTTATGAGTAAGCCAGTTCGTAACTGCAGAAAATATCATCCTAATACAAAGTAGTGATTCATTTTACACAAATATTACTAGCTAGAGAACAATCACACACTGACACATACAAAAAGCCTTCTCTTTCAAGACACAAGTAGAAAGTCACATCTGACAGGTTTTTTTTTTATGTAATAATGGAGTAATTTAAAAGAATATATAAAGCAGAAGGTTTAACTAGAGTACACATTACTACAAGTACACTGTCCAATTTTCTTCCAATGATTGCATCTATCATATAACTTTTAGCCTGAAATTTTTGCATAGACACAGGTGTGATCTTTAAGTAATATAAGATGACAACTAACTTTATTACATGAACAACTTCATTTGGTTTTTACTTGATCTTCCACCACTTTCTTACATTTTTACATAAAACACAAGATTGAACGTTCATTCTCACCTATAAAACTGTATCTATTTTTCTCTATTTATAGAAAATTTTACTATAAAGGAATAAATATTCCACAGGAAAATATTGTTCTTGAGAGATGTCACAGCCACAAATAAGAATGATGCAATAACCAAGGGGAAAATATTCAGTTCCCTTTGCACATACTCATCATGAAGGAGCTGCCATCAAAATTTCATAAACCTCAATTTTTTTTCTAAACTCTTTACAACTTACCATCACCTTCTTCCTCCTCTTCACCCTCTTCTTCATCTTCATCATCTTCTTCCTCCTCCTCTTCTTCCTCATCGGCAATGCTCTCTACTGTATGACCATCATCATCATCATCATCCTCATCATCCTCATCCTCATCCTCCTCAACATCCACATCATCATCATCTTCCCCTTCTTCTGGTTGATCTTCCTCTACTTCTCCATCATCAGAATACTGGCTTTCTTGATGAATGGATGTTCGATCAGGAGAAATCGGCTCAAAGTAATCCTCCCTATGGTCCACATCATCTTCTTTTTCCCCAACCACTAAAAACAAATACAAAGTTTCAGAAATAAGAGCATTTTTCTGAAATCCAAAGATATTAAACAGGACTGGCCCTATGAGTGGATCCCATCTGGCCCCATATACCAGGATGAGCATTCCCTCCTTGATTACAGAGGGTTCATTCTGCCCCATGTCTGTCTTCCAGCCCAGAGTACCTGGAAAGTAATTGATGTTTGTTCTAAAGACTGAGGCAAAGAAGTCATTAACTACCTCAGCCTTTTCCACATCCTTTGTCACCATGTATCCCCCTGCACCCAGTAAAGAAGGTTCTCCTTAGCTCTCCTTTTTTTTGCTTATGTATTTATAGAAATATTTGTATTGTCTTTAATGGTAGTATATATGCTTTAGGTGTCTACATCACATATAATAGAGATGCAAAAAATAGCATCTTGCAAATCTTCATGTGATTTGACTGAAAACAATCACTTAGTTCAGCAAGACTATGAATATGTAGAGTTCTTGGCACTTCTAACCCATACAGAGACTGGGTAACTTGGCAGATGCTGCAGAATAATGGAAAAGGACAATGGATACCAGAGCAAACAGAAAACTTACATAAAACATGAGCAGCATGTTCAACAGTGTATTGGTTAACAACCAATATTCTCAATCTACTATCTTTAAAAACTATGTAAATGAACAAACCTGGAACTTTTTTTTTTCCAAATCCATTTCCTAAAACTGAATCTGTCCAGCAGAAGTAACTGCAGACAAGAAATTTCACACTGGGCAGGAACACAGAATTCTGCCTCCTCTAAGCAGCGATGCGCAGCAAATAAAATACAGTCTCTTCTCATTCTACCTGACACTGGCATAGGTTCATCCTCATCATCATCAGGAGGAGGAGGGCCTGGAGGTGTCCTTGGTCCCCTGGGTTGTGGTCTTGGAGGACTGCCATTGAACTGGTCTTCTTTCTCTCCATCAACTATATTTATTGGAAAAATAAAAACTTGCATTTAATGAAACCACAGGAATAAAAGCAGAAAATTTTGGGGTTTCAGTGCAACTTTTCACTGGGGAACACCACTGCCCAGCTTTTATTTTATCTATATTCTGCACTACGTGAGGCAAGTTTCTAAAGTCACTTTTGATGAAGTAATTTTTGATGTAAACAAGAAATACATTAATAAACAAGCTTATTAACACTACTCATTATTTTATGTAAAACTTACTTAAAACTTATATAAGTAATTGCCAATTTTGGTTTTGACACTACTTATATTGTAACTCTATCAATAATATCTGAATTGCTTTAAAAAACTAAGTTTACATTTTACTCAACTGGTTTTTACGGTTTACAATTGTTTTTTACTGTACATAGTATTTAAATTTAGCAGTCTTTTAGCCATACTTTGAATAATAGTTCTAATTTTAAATCTAAAATCAAAATTGAAGCAAAAATTTGACCATGGATTCTATTCATGGCTGCTCTAAAACCAGTGCCAAGCACTCTTCTGTAATATATTTTACACATCACATAAGCAAAGTTAACTATGACTGTAAAATTTTCTTGTTATGATTTTAATACTATTCTAATAACTTTTTTTTAATATTCCAATCATCTACATTATAATGAATTCACACAAATTAAACTACATTTTGACCATTCAAAGTAACTAGCAACATATCAAATAAACCACTCTCATAAAAATACTGGATGAGACCTTAAAACCATTCAATATAAATCTAGAAGAAAATATGAAACAAAGGATATAACAAAGAAAAATGAAAGCCACTGTAATCTAAAATGCGGAAGGACTGGGGATTTGTTCTTCTGATGGGACACTGTAACACTGACTTGTAAAGAAAAAAAATCTCTGTCTTCTCCCAAGACTTACCATGTTTTGGATTCCTTTTCAATCCAGGCTGTTGCTGGGGAGGTGGAGGCGGAGGGGGTGGTGGAGGAGGTGACTCTCTTTCATGAGTTATTACCCTGTCAACTGAGCCATATATTGCCAAAGTCAGACAGTTGTACCACCCTCTGAGAACCAATCCATCTGTGTTGACCTGTAGGTTTAAAAAAAAAAAAAAAATTTAAAAAATAGCCCTTAAAGACAACTTCTGAACAGTTACTCTAGTATCACTGTAACAGCATCAGCATAAAATCCAACAGAAAAATCCAACATTAAAATACCTCTTTATCCCACATTTTGAAAACTGAGAAAATGTTAAACACATCCATCATTGCCACAAATAATCTTTCTCTAAAAGCATTCAGTTCCCTGCAGTATATACATTGACTAGATAAATCCCTCATCTACTACAGCCTATTAATGAAAAAAAAAAAAACCTGACAAAAAAACAAACCAAAGACAAAACAAAAAACCACAAAACTCTAAAGTAAAGAGTATCTAAACTACAGGCAGGTTTTAGGATAAGGTTTAAAATAATCAACATTTTACAACAGTGCTAACACACCACATGAAACCATATTTACACCTAAATGACAGATATGCAGGGAAAGAAGAGGTTTAAATCACATTGCATTACCTTTGCATTTGGCCTGAAAATAATTGAAGTGTTTTCATCATATTCAAGGCTGTAAAGATACAAAGTCATTTTTCATTAATATAAAACAAGTTCACAGAAATAAAACACAGCAGTACTAATCACACAAGCCAACAATAAAACACTGAACAAATACATACAATAGTAAAAAACCACTTCTTTCTACAGAATTCTTTGCATTAATATATATGGGCTCTGTAAACTTGAAAATAACAGAAACTTTTCTTACTTTAAGCATAAACCTCTGTCCTTCCACACAGATCAGAGGAAAAGAATAAGAACATCACTGGCAAAATCCAAACCAAACACGAAGATCATGGGAAGATTCAGGATTTTCTATTGTGCATTCTCTGCACTATAAAAATTTTCAGGAAGAAAAGATTGGTAATGAAGTCACACACTAATCTTGAAAGAACTTACCTTCCCAGCCGATCAAAAACAGGGGCACTTGGTTTGCTAACATTGTTGAAAAACAAGTCCAGTTGAAATGAATGGGGGGATGTCTCCCTAGGAACAGAATAAAAGTAAAATTGAATTAGATGAGTCCCTTATCAGAGCATGCAGGACTACCAATGGAAAAAACCCTACAAAATTATACTGTTTAAGTAACGCCCCAAAATAATTACAAGTTCACAAACACATTAATGCATTTTACATTTTTACATAGGAAGGTCTATTGAGATATGAAAGTTCAACAAAAAAATAACAGGAAAGTTTTCCTGAATCTGATGCCTGGTATCTTTCACTTACCCATAAGCTCTGTTGTCAGGCAAACTTGTGTGAGCTCTCACTCCTGGAGGAATGACTCGGACTTCATTTATGTAAACCACACATGGAAAACGGACCACATCAATATTGGTACTTTGCTACAAAACAAAGAAGAGCAAAGTCTAGGAAACATAAAACGCAAACAACATAATGTACTCGTATTCTCTACTAAAGGAACATGTTTCAAGCTCGGTAATAAAATTCAATTCTGTAAAAGGCTAAACACTGATAAATGGTGTTACAGAGAAAAATAGCATTTTTAATATAATCTTGGCACTTTTCATATCTTTAACACTGTTTATTCATAGAAAGTGTTACTGGTTTAATTACTTAATTTACTACCTTTATTTGCAATAATCTCTTAAATAGTAACAGGTTGTTGTTTTCCAGACAGAAGATATGTGTGGTGTAATTCTAAACATTAGCAAATTTCATATTTCAAGTATAATATTAAAAATTATAACAATACTTTGTCAGTTTTGCTAGATCTGTATAAAAAGTCCACAGGATATTTATTTTTTCCATTTTGCAACACCTGAAAACCTTTAGCAAATATCATTCCTGTTTACCACACAGAAACAGCAAGTATAAATAATTATTACACCCTCCAAAAAGATGTTTGAGCAAACTAGGAAGTTATTAAACTTACAGCGATTTTCCATGTAGCAGCTACTAAATAATTAATGCTGGACATCTTCTCTCACTAAATTCACTGCATTAGAGCCTATTACATTTAACCATTTTTAGCATATATATGCTCATAAAACAGTACACACATATAACTTTATGTTCAATTGTAAACATATAAAGACTTTCTTAACAGCTCAGAATCATGTTTCCAAGTAGCAAGCTGAATTAGCATAGATAGGAAAAAAAACGCAAACCACTGATCTGCCTATTAACACAACTAAATAATGAATATTGATCTGTAGTCAAAATGTATCTCTCTCACCACAATCAGAAAGCAAATGTAACCAGCAAAAAGCAACTACTACAATTTTTAGAAAGCTAGTAAGCAATGAAACAGACAAAACAGAGTTTTAAAAACAGCTTTTAACATACGGTTTGGGGCATGTGTCTTCTAAAAAATCTACACAGACATTTTTTAACACACAACACCTTGGCCTGTGGGCTGACATGTTAGAAGCTGCATGGTGGAACCAAGGGAATCCTGCTAGGACAGAGAGCCCAGAAGCACAAAGAGGAACAGGGCGAGTGCAGCCTGCACTGGAGTGAGGGCTGAGGGAGCTCATCTGTGCCTCTAAAAAAGATCTGAGTCATGCAGGAGACAGATTTCTGGAGGAAGGGCTGCTCTGGGGAGCTTCATCCGCAGCAGCACCACCCAAATAAAGACAAATTCCTCTTTAAATGATAGAGGATTATGCACTGACAGCCATGCATCAACATCACCAACACACCAAGTGAATTCAACCCACTTTTGCTACCAAGCATTAAAAAAGACCCTACATCAGAACTGCTCAACAGCAGTTAAACTGCATAGCTAAGCCAAGTAAGTAATTTTATTCAAAAACACAGCAGTACTTTTCAAGAACTGTAAGTTCCAGTGCAACACTCATAATCCACAAAGTGGAAGAATTGGTGTAACATAAAGAAGGCTTTCAAGAAACACATAAAATATGTAAGGTTCGAGTTTGGACAATGACTGATAAAAATGAAAGTGACAGAAAATTATTTTAGAAGAACACGATTAAAAATGTTCAACAAGAGAATATGGGGTCCTGGAGAGGAGTAGGAGTGGCTACTGTTTCTACCCAGGAAAACAGCACTGGGTAGCATTCCCCACCTAACATTGTCTGAAATAGTGGAATTAAAAATACATTTGGGCCTAGCTGATCCAGACAGCTAGAAGACTCCTGAATAACTTTCCAATTGCATTTGAGTTCAAAATACTCCATTTTCTTTCCCTAATGCCTATCCATGAACATAGTCTAGTTACTCTATGACTCTGAAATGTCTTTCTCAAGTTACAGTACACAATCATTTTTCCTCCCCCATTCTTCCTCCCTGAACAGCACATCGAGCTCAGCTCCGGACAAACCTGCTGCAAGACCAGCGGTTTCAAAGATGCTCAGGATCCCAACAGCCTCAAAGTGGAAGATTTGCACGATCTACCACTGCCAAAAAAGCTTGAAAAACCCATATTGTGCAAAGTAAATAAGTCTAACGGAGTATCTCACAAACACACAAATATTCCTCATCATCAGCTACACAAGAGCATCAGGAATCTCACAAGCGGCAGGGCATGGCCTTCTAGTCGACTTCTTCTATTATCGCCTTCTCGAAGCACGTTTATCTTCTTTGTTCTCCGCTCGCCTCCACTCCCCGACACAAATATATCTCCACTCCTTTCCCACCACCCTCCGCCCTTTGCCAGCAGCACCGGGGGATGCCAGGACAGCGTCTCGAGCAAGGTTTCGTGTCAGGCGAGGCGGGAAGGAGGCGGCAGCCCGCCCTTGACAGCACCTGCCTCGGTGCTGCCCCTGCCCGACCGCCGCCGGGGCCCGCCCCAGCGGGGCTTCCGCACGCCCGGGAGGCCCCGGCGCGAGCAAGGAGGCGCCGGCAGTAGCCCAGGAGAAGGGAGAGGAGGAGAAGGAAGGTGAGAGGAGACGCAGACCCAAACCCCGTTTTACCTCCGCGCTCTGGTGCTTGAACGTGTCCAGGAACAGCAGCTCGGTGGCGGCATCCGCCGCCATCTTGGCCGGGCCGCGGGGGATGCGCTTCCGGCGCGCGCGCGAGCGCTTCCGGGACGTGCGGGGCGGGTCCCGGCCACCCTCAGCACCGTGAGGCGAGACAGAGCCAGCGTTACCTCAGCACTCACGGAGTCACAGAATGAATTCAGAGGTTGGAAAAACCTCTGAGGTCGTCGGGTCCAACCTTTCACCTACTAAAACTCGCGCAGCAGTCGCGGTTGTGAGCAGCGGGGCGGTGTCCGCAGACCCAGCCCCCGCAGTCCGCGCCGAGCCTTTGGCTCCGTTCTCTTTCCCAAGCTCGCTGCTTGTTAATTTCAGCCCCGCCTGAGAAATTTCCTTTGCAGGTTTTGCCGTGCTTAAAACAAACTCTTTTCAGGCGAAGAACTTGTTACTTCCCTCAAGTTCCTGTAGCACAATTCCTATCAACCTTTCCGCAGTACCAGATGTACCTGTTTAGCATCCGTTGTCCTGCAACAGCAATCAAGGAAGAAAGAAGGAAGGAGAAAGAAGGAAGCTTCAGGAAAATGGAGGAAATAAGTAAGAGGGCACATGAGTCTCTTGAAGTGTTGGGGGCGGAGGGCTGTGAGCTCCTTGGCAAGAAGAGTGGTGTGAGTTGTTTCAGTACTGCTTTGTTACAATAAATGAAACAAAAGGACACGTGGTGGGAAATCACCAGAACTAATACAAAAATGACAGAAAAGCAGTTACATTGAGATTAGCAAAAGGGCTGGGCAGATAGACAGCAGGAGGAAACAAAATGATTGCCAGAGATGAGTACAGCGGCTGTGTGCTGGGAGGAGCCTTGAGAGGTCGCTTTGCTCCAAAGCACCCCAGTACCTTCCTAGAGATAACAGCATCGATGTCATCTGGAACGTGACACGTCGTGAAAAGACTATGCTTAACCAGTCCCAGGACAACGGAATGGCCAGGGACAAGTAACTGGAATGGGAGTACACAAATGCCAAGAGCCTGGGCAACAACACAGGAACCTGACCAACTGGTGCATGTTGTCAAACCAGATGCTGCAAGTAGGCAAGACAGAGGGTGGAATGGGAACTGTGACTGGAAAACAGGTGGTTTAGGGAATGTATTAGCCAAGAAAGAGAAAAATAAAAGGTAATGGCTCTACAGTAGTAATTAGTGACAAACAGCCTCATAAATAAATGAATAAATAAAACAAGAGTTAGCCAGTAACCCAAAAGATATAATGGGAATTAAAAATACTTCCAGGGTATAGTTTCACCTTTGAAAGGGGTTACTATACATAATGGAGCCTGCTGTATCAATAATTTGGGGAGTCTCATGCTCCTAGATAGGCAGAGACATGAGACAATAAAGTGGAAGGGAGAGGGGAAAAAATGCATAAGCCAGAACACAATAAATCACAAGTGAAGGAACATTTTTGCCCATCCAAAAATCATTCTCACCAAGACAAGGGCTGCGTCTCAAAAGCCAAGCTGGCACTCAAAAAGAAACTGCCTAGGACAGATGATTAAGCTTCACTGAAAGACAAGCAGCCAGCCAAGCCAGAACTCTCTCTCTGGTGTGCTCCACTGTGAAGTTATTTCAGAAACATTCTGGATTTTTGTACTAAAGTATAAATGTTTTTCTAAGAAGTTGCAGTAAACTAAGACCTGAAAGGGAAACTGCACAAAGAAATCCTATGCCATTGAATCCTTCTGCTCCAGACTAAGCAGAGGTTACAAAGCAAACATCTTGTGTTAGGACCAACCTCACTCCTCAGATGCTGAGTAAAGATCACCTGCAGCCACTACTGAGGACAAACACCCCAGACCTCTACTTCACAAATATTTTACTCAATGCATCAAAAGTCGGAAGAGAAATGCACAAAGAAAATCAGGTATTATGGATGCTAACTCTGAAGCAGGGAGCACAGTGCCTGTGGAATAGCAGGCCGCATAACTTTCTCAGTCTCGCCTCAGAAAGTGGCCTGGGAAATCGTAAGGAAGAATTAAAACAATCCTCAGAGATAGAAAACAGCCTTGCAGGTGCTGTTTGTCAGTTTCTTGTTTTCTTGCAAGAGAAGGTCGAGGGGTGGTGATCCCCACTGACCAATGATGGTGATGTGTTAGTGTACTAACCAATAAGAGTTTTACTTTTCTGTACTTTCATGTATCAGTCTATAAAAGAAGATCTGAGGTAATAAACCTCAAGGGAGAAGAGAGAAATAACTCTCCTGTTCAACTCATGAGAGAGTCTGTGTCGTTCTTCTCGCTGTTCCCAATACAGTGACAAGGTACTCTAAAAACCTCTGACAAATAGGGCACAATTATCTTATTTTTTTGTTGATACCAGATTCACATGGCAAATTTCAGCTACTGCTGTGAAAGACTGGAAGGATTAATTTGACATTTTAAACCCTTAAATTGAAGTCTCTGCTACCAGTGAATGTTAATTTTGAAATCTTGAACTAGAGAGAGTGAAAATTACTCCAGCCATCGTGTGTCATGCTGGAATTTGGTGGCAGTCCCCACAAGAAGAACCAGGCTGCATCAAACCACAGTAGGGCAGGAAGAGGATGCCAGGCACTATGGGGACAAGTCAGTGGCTGACAGAATCCCCAGCAGTGGTGAGACACATTTGTTCCCTTCCTGCCAAATGTGTATGTGTTAATAAAAGGTGGTGCAAGCTGTGAACCTGCACCAGCATAAGGAATGGTGATGAAGAAACACACAAGGCGCACCTTCATGGAAATGTTCAGCACATAGCTGAACAACCAGGTGACATGATGGGTGAGCAGCTGGCTCACAGGTCAGGTGTAAAGACTTATAGTGAACGGGGTGACATCAGGGTGGCACCCTTTTGTCACTGGTGGGGTTCCACAAGGCTCCATCCTTGGCCCAATTTTTTTCAATGTCTTCATTAAAGACTTGGACTCAAAGACATACTACGTAAATTTACCGGTAACACCTTGTACTTGCTCCTTGTGAGGATGTTGAGGACAGTCATCTCAGAGGTCTCATCTCAGTCTCCTCCTTTCTTCTCAGCTGCTCCTAATAAAGTTTCCCCTCAAGGCCTTTCACCATTCACATGGCACTCCTTTGGACATTCTCTAAGAAGTTTCTATCTTTTTTGTATTGCGGTGACTAAAATATCACACAGTACTTGAGGTGAGGCTGCCCCAGTGCAGAGCAGAGCAGGACGATCCCCTCCCTTGCCCGGCTGGCAACGCGGTGCCCCCCAGGCCACGGTTGGCCCTCCTGGCTGCCAGGACGGAGCTGCCCGGAGCAGGGCAGAACTGCCCTCTGCGACATGTCCCAGCAGGACCGGGCGATCCCGCCCCGTCGCTGAGGAGTTGCACCATCCCGGCGCAGCACACCTCGCCGGCGGAAGGCGCAGCCCGGCGGAGTCCGGGCCGCCGTCGGTGCACTCTAAGGCTCCTCAGGGGCCCGGGGCTGCTCCTCCACCGCCGTGCCCCCGCAACCCGTCCGCAATCCTGGCCCCGCTCTCGGCGTCCCGCCCGCAATCCCAGCTCCGCACTCCGGCCGCCGCCCCCGCCGCGCTGCCACGTCCCCGCCCGGCGGGGCCAATGGGCGGCGGCGCCAGGTGTGTGTTACCTGCACCACGTGGGCCGGGGGTGGGCAGGTGGTGCCGCGGCCCCGCACAGAAAAGCTCGCAGCCATTGCGCCTTTCCCAGGGGTGCAGTTGGTGTGGGAGCGGCTACCACCCACCTCGGGGAAAAGGGGGTGGGGAAGGCGGGGGAGCTGTGCGCCTCTCCCACGCCAGGTCCTTGGGCAGCGAGGGGGTTCTGCCGCTTGGGTCTCGCTTGGAAGCGCCTGGGGCAAGGAAAGTTTCCGGCTTCTTCTCTTTCCCCGCTTCTTCCTTTCCTCCTTTTTATCCTCTCTGCTGGCCCGGTGGCACCATGACGGCGTCTCCCGACTACTTGGTGATTCTCTTCGTGACCACGGCGGGCACCAACGGGGCAAGGTTGGGCTCAGACGAGCGAGAGCTGCTCCAGCTCCTGTGGAAAGTGGTCGACCTGAGGAGTAAGGAGGTATTTTCACCCGACAGGGGAGCACCCCGACCTGCTGCTCCCCTTGGCGCCTGCCATGCTGGACGTGGGCAGGGCGGTCTTGGTGCTGGGCTGGTAATGGGTGTCCCAGGCTGGAGCAAGCTCTGGTGGAGGGTAGGGGCTGGTGCTGCAGATAGGGGCCTCCAGCCCGGAGAGCTGACTCACCCCCTCCTCTGCTTTCTCTGGAGCTGGGGCACCTGCATGACGTGCTGGTCCGGCCTGACCGCACAGAACTGACGGCTGAGTGCCAGGAGATCACCCAAGTGGATGTGGAGAGCCTGGCACTGGCTCCACCGCTGGAGCAGGCATTGAGACAGGTGACATCCCATAACTGGCTGCTAAGTGCTGGTCTCCTTTGGGAGCTCCCCTGTGGGGTAGAGGTGATATTATCATCTGTTTATCCCCACTATCAGAGCAGTGGAGACTGCTACGGGAGCACCACAGACATATGTGGGCCAGGAAGCTTTTATGTGTAGGGTTTTGTGGGCCTTTCTTTATTTGGCTTGGGAGACACTGAACCCCAAGAGAGGAAGTTTAGGGTCAACTATTTCCCTATCCTGTGCTACTGCCGTGCTGGACCCTGAGTGAATCTCAGCTGAGCGTGAGCCCTAATCAGTGTTGGAAGAAGCCAGCTTTAGGTGTTCCCTGTTAAGGCTTGTGCTCATCAGTCCTGGGAAGGTGATGGTACTACTGAAAGCTCTAGGTTAACAAGGAAGTGTGTGTGATTCCAGTACTGCCTCAGCTGTCTGCAACCAGCTTTGTCTCATTGCAATGCTCTTGCCAGTATTGAAAAGGATTTTCTTCTGTCACATGGGCTGTCTGTGTAGCCATATCTCATTAGAAGGGGGGGAAAATGGATGGTTTCCTTGTGAAGAGATTTATTATGGAAGTTAGCATGTGCTTAGCTAGTAAGAAACAAATTTACAGAAGTGAAGGAGTAGGCTTATATAAAAAGGAATTCCAGCTCCGTGTTCCTGCTGCCCAGGAATAACATGTTGCCAGCTGATGACACTGCCTAGTGGAGTCACTCTGATCTCTGTAACGTGTATGTCTTTTCTTGTTCCTGCCAACAGTTTAATCAGTCCGTGAGCAATGAGCTGAACATTGGTGTAGGTACTTCTTTCTGTTTCTGTACTGATGGACAGTTGCACATTAGGCAGGTTCTACACCCTGAAGCTTCCAAAAAGGTATGTAGCTTAAGTTTGACTCTTAATGTGCTTTTTGTGATTTCTTGTAAAACAAATAAACTTCCCTCTAGTATGAGGGTTCCACACAACCATAGCACAAACATTGCTCCTGTGTAATATGTGTACTAGGCTAAAGAGCCTGTCTATGTGGAAGTAAAATAAAAATGGAAATATACAGTGCCCTGTCCTTATGTGGTCTTGAGATGCCTTTTTAAATCAGAAGGAAGATACTCTTAAACGTTTGAGAAAGGAGCAATGTATTGACACTACTTGTAGCTTCTACAGGGTTAACAGGTGAGATTTGGGATTATTGCTAAATAGTTAACTGTCTTAACCATAAACTGCTTTTTGAAATTTTACAGTCATGCCTACTTATAGCAACTTTCAATCTTTGGATATTCAGTTGACACTCCAAGGGCAATATTTGTATTTGTAAGGAGTGGAACAGTAGTTTGAAGCAGGCTGTGAGTTATGATCAGTCCCATGGTCTGGAGTTTTCCATAACTTCAGAGTTGCCAAATCGCTAACAGTGCTATGAAGCCCTGCCTGCTTTTCGTTAGTGATAGGGTTGCAGCAATATGTGAGTCTCTCTGGTTCTGAAATAACTGCCTCAATATTAATGACACCTCATTTTGTGGTTTGGTATGAGTGTGTATTGCTCTGTAACTGAGCTGTTTTGCTCCTCTCATTGTACCTGACTTCTGTGCCCTTCAATTTTCTGCCCCATCTTTGAAGGGACACTGCTGCAAGTCTGTGCTGTTACAAAAGTGATACTGAATGAGCTTGGTTGTAATACTTGTTTGTGCTTTAAGCAGTAATAGCTTTGAAGGCTTAGAAGAGAAACAGTGAGCATTATTCACAGTGAAGGGACAGTTCTTATACATGTAACTTGTCATCTATGACATGTAACATAAGAAAATGTGGAAACAGGTTTTTAAAAGACTTTCTTCTTGGCTAATAAAGTAAAACTTGACATCCATTTAAATTATGTGGATAAAAGAAGGGACACATCCTACAATTATTTAAGTTGGTCTGATGTCAGGGATCCTTTTTCTGTATCATCACAGGGTTACAGACAGGAATCAAAGATTTCATCAAAATCTTCTGTTGCTGTTTTGTTAAGAATTGTTCGTTTGAAATTTGCTCTGTGCTGCCTGTAGATTAAGTAAACCAGATGCTTTTGAGACTTGTAGTAGTTTTTTGATGAATATCCTAATACAGGGATTGGAGTGTGACATCACTAAAATCCAGATAGGCAGAAATCTGTAGGCTCTTGAGAAGATACTTGTTTCTAAGATACCCATTCTGAAGCTGTCTAGCAACTCCTGGTATTCGGAGAATGAATTGGCATCAGCCACTCCAAAAGAACATAAATGAAGTACGGAATTTCATTTCACATCAAGGAAGAAAATCGTGCTAAAACTAGAGCAGGAAATGTTGGCAAGCCCATCTATATTTTCATAAGTCTTTAAAGAGTATCGTTTGCCTAATACACCTGTCCCTATGCTAAGATAAGCTCTAATGTTCTCAAAGCAGAATTTGTTTTAGAGCCTAAACTGCTTTCTTCCGGCTCCCTAAATGTGCTTTAACATAGGCTGTTATCTGTTATAATGCCAACATGCTAACTAGTTGTTATATCCCAGAAAGCCTTTATGTGTAGTCTGGAAAGGCCTTGCAGGCAACAAACAACCAAAAGGAATATGCAGTATCCTGTCTGGGGTGAAGAGCTAACTGAAGGAGTAAGGGTTTGCGCTGGTTTCAACAGCTGCCCCCAAGACTTCTCCATGTCTTTTTTCCACTCCCAAAATAATTCAAAGCATGTGGCAGATGTACTGGTGGGGCAAGAAGGGTTTAAGTGACTTCTAGTGGGCTACATAACTCGCTTCTGGCTTTGGATATGCTGCAGTTAAAACCATGCATAGGCTGACAACCACTGCGCCATGTCAAACCCTCTTCTGCACAGTCAGATTTTTTATTTGTTGGAAATAAATCTTTGAAGTGTGACTATTCTCTGAAAACAGCCTTTTCTATAAACTAAAATTCTACAGACTACCTGAATTGACTACCCTCTGGCTTTCTACAGTTAAAATTGCAATCAAGAATTGATGATAAATGTTGAAGTAGGAGGCATTTGCTCTCCTACATATATATTGGATTTGAAGCTCTAGTAATAATGGCAAATGTTTCTCTGGCAGTGCAAAAGCACATTTCTCTTATTAAACAATATAAAGAGAAAGCTGTTTAAGTGAAAAAGTTTGACTGTACTTACCTGGCTAAGTGTGTTTCTCTTTAGCAAAGACTGTGTTTCCTACCTATTCTAAAGATACTGTTAGAAAGTTTGGTATCTAGACACAAAGTACGTTAAACTCGCCCTAACTGACTTTGTTCCTTTTACAGAATATTTTATTGCCTGAATGCTTCTACTCCTTTTTTGACTTGCGGAAAGAGTTCAAGAAGTGTTGCCCTGGTTCACCTGAAGTTAGCAAACTTGATGTTGTAGCCATGACAGAATGTATCCTTTTAACAATGATAGAGACTCTGCTGCTGTTACAGTCTTGGCAGAATTTTAGGACAGAGGTACATGAGTAATGCTTGCAACACATGTTTAAGGGTGGTATAACTTTAATGAGTGACTCGGAGCTGTACTGTTTTCTCACAAAGATAAAAGAATGCTTCCATGGAGAAAATCCTGTATTTCTTCTTGACTTCTGCATGTTTTCTTTACCATCTTTATATCTGTCTTGCTTTAAACTTCACAGTTTAGTGTAACCAGCACATTTATTTTTAAATTACTTTTGTGAATTGTAATATTAAAGTTTGGGGGTTGAGTTTCATAGCATCAGTTGGATTTTTATTTAATTTTAGGCAAGAGCAGGTACTGGGAGACCACCTTAATTTTCAGGAGAGGAGATGGTTGTTCTTGATGTGACCTCGTAGTGAATCTCTAACACAGGAATGATCCTAAGGCAGGGATGCTGTTGGAACATGTGGTATTCAGTCTTCTAGAAGGTGCACATGCCACACCTCACAGGGTGAGGCTTGGCTGGCATCAGGATGTCGCTCTGTTGGGAACGGCGAGAAGAGTGACACAGACTCTCTCATGAGTTGAACAGGAGAGTTCTTTCTCTCTTTCTCCCTTGAGGTTTATTACCTCAGATCTTCTTTTATAGACTGATACATGAAAGTACAGAAAAGTAAAACTCTTATTGGTTAGTACACTAACACATCACCATCATTGGTCAGTGGGGATCACCACCCCTCGACCTTCTCTTGCAAGAAAACAAGAAACTGACAAACAGCACCTGCAAGGCTGTTTTCTATCTCTGAGGATTGTTTTAATTCTTCCTTACGATTTCCCAGGCCACTTTCTGAGGCGAGACTGAGAAAGTTATGCGGCCTGCTATTCCACAGGCACTGTGCTCCCTGCTTCAGAGTTAGCATCCATAGCAAGATGCAGTCAGTAGTATGTTTCCAATTTCAGTGATAGATAGGGATGTCTAAAATTACTTTCTGAATAGTCTGAAGTGGTCTGTAACCCCATCCTGTCTGAGTCTTTCCTAGTCTGAGCTTGACAGCTGAAGCTGTGAATTTCACTGTGCTTTCTTCCCTTGCTTCCCTGGAAGTCTCCCCTCTTGCTGCAAGTCTCAGTCTTCATCCCAAAAATATTCTTGGACACAGAGCTACTGAGCTATTGAAATAGTGCTCACAAAAGTTGGGTATCAAGGAGGAATAAAGGAATTTGAGATGCTTGTTATTGGTGGTTGATGTTGCTGCTAGTGTTTTTAATAATTTTTCCTCTGACTTGTTTTGGTGTCCATTAAGTGATTGCCATTAAAAGGTGATGTCTGTGGCTTAAGAATTTTTTGAGCTTTCACTGCAGGACTAGAATTGCCTGGGCTTTGTGCTTGTTGGGGGCATAAAATACATATATGGGGTGGGTTTTTGTGTTTAACCATTCTGCTCTGCTTTATCTGCATATTAAGATTAAGCTCTGCTAGTGAAGGGGCAAAAATTATTTATCCCCATATTCTGAAGGAAAGCAGTACAGTTAGAGTAGAATACTGAATCTTTATGTAGAAAAGTGAAATAAATGCTGTGGTACATAGAAACTGGATGATGGAGACTTCTGGAAGTTTTGGTCAAAAACTTTCCATTGTTTAGGGACTGCTTTGACATGATCTGGAGAAATTAAAGACAATGAGCTTGTTTAGCTGTTACAGAGAGTTGGCATTGGTTTCTCCCTATGTGAATGTGTGGGGTATGCCTTTCAACTGTAGAAGGAGTTGTATGACTACAGCTACCTGGAGTGTCGCTGGTCTGCTAAGGCATGGTGATGGACTGTGTATTCCCTGCCTGCTGGGAGAAGGGTGAAGATGACCCTGTGTTACCTGACTGTCAGGAAGTCCCTAAAGAGTCAGTGCCACCTGAGAGTAATTTTGGCAATTGCCAATAATATTTTTTCCAAGTTCCTAGAAGCTTCATCAGTCTGTCCAAATATACTCAGCTTGAGTCTGAGTTCTGGATAAGATATGCTTCTTAAGGTCTATAGACCTAACTTCATTCTGGTTTTACATTTATTTTTGTGGCTTATCTTGTTTTGTAACTGCTGAGGCTCTTAATTGTAAACTTGCAATTTATGCAACGTAGCTGAAATCACCTGTCTCTTCCCTGTTACTGTGTGGAAGTGTGGGAGCAGAGGATGCAGTGACCAAAAAGGGTAAAACAATTTTTGTTTTTCTTTTATTGACAAATATGATGATTTTCTTTCTCCTCACCTTGCTGGAACATATCAATCTCCTCAGTGTTAGAAGCTGTATAGGTTAATTGCATTTGTAGACCATGGACATGTATGTGATGTTTAGGATAAAGGGGTTGTTTAAGCAGGTGCTGAGTCTGAAGACTAGTTCTTTAAGTTGTGTGCAAAGTTGTTTAGTTTTTCTTCCTTTATATATGGTTATGCTGGGGTATGGGACAAAAAAAAAATCAGAAATAAGTGCAGTACGTTGGAATGAAGTGCAGATTAGCACACAGAAACTGGTCAAACTCTTTTTATTCTTGTAGAAAGTGCAGCTTCTTGGCCTCACAGCTAAGGAGGGTGTATGAATCTTCCATGATTTCTGCCACAGAAACTACAGTGTGACAGATTAGAATTTGGTGAGGATAGAAGGTTTTAGTATAGAGCTAAGCTACAGACTAGGTATTCAAGAGACTTTCATTTACAGACTGGTAAATGCAGGAGTGGAATGATTTTTGAGCACATCCCTTCATGTATTTACATCTCCATTTATCTGTGTGTAACCTGGTTGTGATCAGTAAGAGGAAACTTTTAAGATATAGTTAGGAGAAATAGTAGGATATATATATCCTACTATAAATATAGGTGAATAGTTAGGAGAAAGCTGGGTGTTAAACTACACCAAAGTTACTAAAATCTTCAGAAGCTTTTGTTTTGATGGGTCACTTTTGATTAAACAACAAATTACAGGCAAATGGGGAATGTGCACAACTGTTCCCAGCCGTCAGGGGAGATAACTTCCTACTGCACCATCAATTCCAGATAGATACTTTGGTATGTAGCACACCAGATTGCAGGTGCTTGGCTATGTATTTCTTGCAGACAAGGCAAGCACCATCTTGTGAAAGAGCATAGAGATAATAGACTAAATAACTGGTTGGGTTATTCCTCCTTTAGAAAGTACTTTGTGGATTCACTTTCTCAGGAGGCTACTTGAAATTTGTGTACAGCAATGAAACCATGCCAAACTCAAGAACTCAAGTGAAAGCTTTGCAAATCTTTACTCCCAACCCCTGTAAGAAGTTATACATTTCACAACAGACACTCATTTCTTTCAGATAAAGGTAAAGCAATGTTTAAAATGCTATGAAATTCAAGTGACCAATGCAGAACTGAAACTAGTTGTAATTGTTTGAGTGCTACTGCTGCCTAACTCATGGTGTCAAAACAGTTCTTGTGTATGAGACAGTTTTCTGGCAGACTGTCAGAATTGTGTAAGCGTAATGACAGCAGGACAATTATGAGAAATTTTGAGTAACGAAACTTGAGAGAAGTGATCATGTTCCAGCAGAGAAAATAACTTGGGTCTGTCAACATTTTTTTTTCTTGAAATGTGTAAGCATAAAAAAGGCGTAGGGCTGTTCTTGCACCCTCTGTACCTCCCATACTTGCTACACTTCTTGATTTGCAAAGCTTGCTGAGCCAGTTTTCACCCTGTGAGTGCCTTCAGGGTGGAGTGAATAAAGCTTGCATGACTATTCCTATTAGTTTTGCAGAAGACTCATCATTTGCCTCGAGATTGGGTGTGCAGAAGCCATTAAATGGCAAATAGCTCTTGCTTCCTCCAGTGCTTGGTTTGCTCCACTCACTTCTAAACTGGATGTGTGAGGATAACTTCTTCCTAGGAGTTCCAGTGTTGTCAGTAGAAACTCAGGGGCACTCCAGAACAGCTTGTTTAATGTGCTGGATATTGTAGTACTGAAACTTGGTTTGTTGGGGTTTTATTGTTTGGTTTGTTTTTGTGTTTTTGCCCGAGTGTCTTGGAAACAATAATGTGGAGCACAATTATAACCAATAGTGCTTATCTCTGGCAATGAAAGCCCATAACTGGGTATTAGCTGAGAATCTTGGATATTGTTATTTGTATTTCCTGTGATAGTACTCAGGAAATGGGTCATATTATATTACCTTTATGTAAAGCATTATTTAGAAAGATGTAATCTTCTGTCTAAACAGACTTAAATAAGAAACAGAGCAAAGGCGAAAGGATCAATGCAGAGCACAACTGCAATGCTGTTTCATGTCATCTCCGGTTAAGTTAGTTGTTCAATGAGAAAGGAGTTGAGAGAAATGGAACAGACAGTGGGAAGAAGTCTTGGAGGAGGACACTGGCAGTGAATGAAGCTGTGGTGATGCATCTGAGGAAATGGTTTAGAAATTTCTTCCATGTTAGAGGCCACCCTAATACAGAATATGCCTTTCCTTCCTGCTCACTTTAACTTGTTCAGTGTTGCAGGAGGTGATACTGCAGCTGCACACCAAGATAAAGTAGTTCCTTGTTTCCCATCCTGCCTTATTTGGGACTGTCTTTTGCTTGTTTCTTCATTAAGAATATGCATGCGGATGCTATTGCATATATTAGCTCTGGACAGCCATGTTTGGTTTCTAACACTTCTTTTAAATGTGAACTTGGATTATCCCCTGTGATTGTCTTTCTCCAATTTCCCAGGAGAGGCATACTTTAAAAATAAACGTACAGAGACACATGTGTGGTCTCCTATCATTTCGCAGAGCAAGGGATGGGGTTTATAGACTATTTCATTTATATTTTTTCCCCAAGTACTATAATTTTTAGTGCTTCTGCCCATAGGTGTCTACCTCTGTGTAGTCAGTCTTGTTTATTAGAACACAAATTTTCACTTAACATGCTCTTTAAATATGCAGAAAACTATCAATTTTCTTTTCCAATCTTGCCTAAAAGCTGTGCTTCTAACTAATCAGAGGTGAAGGTGTGAGGTTATGCCTGCAATAATGTTGATAACTTTCTTCCTTCCCTCCACTGTGTTTATATTTCTCTAGAGTTTGGCACAACTGACTCCCTGTGTCTGACAACTGGTACCAGCTTCTGTTGACGCTAGAGCATTTTCAGGAACTAATTCTCCCATAGATCAGTGTCCTCAGAAAACAATTTCACGAAGAAAATTATTGTGGGGTGGGGTCCTGTTTGTTTTCCTTGTGTGACGGCCTCTTTTCAAATTCCTGCCCATTCCACACTGCTGCATTCCCCTCTCTGAATGCTGATCACTTCTAGGGATCTTTGGCTCAGCACAAAGGAAATATTGAAATGTCTTTTCTGTTCTGACAGCACAGTCTAATAGCCAAGCACTGACAGCACAGTCTAACAGCCAAGCACATGTGTATGCATGTCCCCTGATGGAATAGCTATTGCAACTCCTGCCCAGTTTCTCTTGACTTTTGACAGAGGAAACACATTTCCAAAATCTTCATAAAACTTGGTCCGGCAAGACCAGGGTTCTAACACATGCACCATCAGCAGCTTCTGGTTCCCTGTATGAACAGCAGAAGCTCTGCACAAGCCCCGTGTGGAGCTGTTAGGTGCTACAGGGGGATCAGTGGCGAGAGAGGGAGGAGAAACACTACTCTGCTCTGATACACAAAGTGCCCAGAAATATCTGTGTGGTGCTGCTTAGACACGCTTTCTGTCAGAGTCAGTGAGTTATTTTTCTTTCCAACCCCCACTTCTGGGGGGCAGTGGGAGAGGTGAGCTTGAGTTTGTTTAAAGCTTAGAAAGAGACCTCAATGAAGAAATTTTTTGTTATCATAGTCGTAATCTCTTAAACCATGCTTTGGGGTTGCTCAGGATTTTTGGCTTGTTTAAGAAAACTATTTAATATTTGCAGTACTTTACCCCAAAGAAGGTACTAGGAGGGCAGAGGGTAAAGGCAATGACTAGTAAGCTATTCCTAGTCAAGCAGTTGGAGGGGAGGAGTCGCTGGTTTAAGTATTCTGGTTTTTAAGCTAAGATAATTCACTTAAGCTTCAAATGTTCTTCTAACACCAAGCATCATCCTCTCACATTCCAGTGCACACTTAAAACCAACAAAGCTTCAAAATCAAATTAGCCTGAAGTGTATTTTGTTGGCACAGCAGCTTTCCTTTCCTTGCTGTGGAAGAGGAATGCATTAATTCAGTTCAAGTTATTTTTCATCTTGCAACAACACAACTGTTAAACAATTTTTTAAAAATCTGTTTTGTAGAACTGACTTGCAGTCATCCTATGAATAATAGGGAAGACTATCTCACAAAGAAGTTTGTCCTGGCTCATCTCTTGATGAGATGATACAACAAAGCTGGTATGAGCTGTTTGTTTCTAACAGAAACTGTTCTGTTCCCTGCACTTTATGTAGGCATCTGACAACTCAATTGTTCCTTAGCTCTAGGTGGAGAAAGCAGTTTTCCTCTTGAAAAAGGAAGCTATCTTGGACTATTGAAGCAACCTTTGAACATCATAATGGCAGGCTCTGGAGCATTTGAAATGTGTTTAATGTAGTCTGGGGGGCATGTAGGCAAATAATCGGTGCACTTGGCTGTTTTCAATGTGTTGCATTACTGTATCTCCATGTCAGAATGGGTCTTGTTTGAGAAACTCTCATTTTTGCTCTGAAGTCTTCATGCAAACTGATACAGCAAGTCAAAAGTGCAACACTTATTTCCAGATTTCCTTATTTATTTTTTTTTCTGTTCTTGATTGTATTTTTTTACCCTCCAGTCCTCAAAGAAAGAGTGGAAAAAACCTGTTTAAAAATTTGCTTCATAGATAATGGAGTAGAATTGCAAGTAATCTTACAGTCCTGTCAGCCTGGTGTTGGAGAGGGGCAAATATGATGGAAAGCAGGAGATACCATAGTAAATAAACTCTTTACAGTTGTCTGAAAAAAGATGGTATATGCAACTTAAATCAGACTCACTTTATGAACGTGGGGGTGTTTTTTGGTCTTTCTATGGCCTTCCTATGACAGGATGCTTCCTGTTCTTTATTACAGTCACTTCCAAAATCCTTCAGACTAAAGCTGTGGATTGTGGGGTTCTATTTTGCCTCTTGACAAAACACATGAGTGGTGGATTCTAACTGGGTTCTCAAAATGCTTCTGTGCAACAGCCCAAAACCTGGGCTATGACTTATAATAGGCAAGGTTTAGACAAGATGTTGTTTATTAATTTTATTGAAGTGGTAAGATACTTATTCTGTTTTGGAATTTACTTAGTCAAAAAGTATATCCCTCCATTTCTGGAGCTTTTAGCTGATTGTTTGCTTCTTCTTCTGCCCTAAATCTTTTCCTGAAGATTAAAGAGGATGTTAATTAAAGAGGACAGGGCTGCAGTCTCTCCACCTCTACATACAGAGGTGTATCTGTCAAACATACATATTTCATAGACATATTAAATACATGCCCCTATGATGGGGTCTCGTGTCCCCAGACACTTTCTGGAGTGACCTTACACTCCTGGACGTGGCAGTAACTAGAGGCCAAGGCAGAGCAGCTCATGTATCCCAGCAGGAAGATGGATTAAACCTTTACCTGGGAAGCAACATGCAAGGACAACATGGAAGTGTGTTGCTCTAGCAGGAAACCAATTAGAAATATGTTTGGTGATAATTGACTTAACTCCAGCATAAAGATTTAAATCTTGACAAGAGCAGTTCAGCATTTCCCTATGGAGCCTCTCAAGTTGAAGATATGGGGCATATTATTTTAACATTAATATCTGAACCATACAGTAAGTGATTGTGATGAGTTTTCTTTGTTCCTTCTTTGGTTTTGCTGCTTGTCCTGTATGATGACAAAATAGGAAATAACTTGCGTTGTATTTCATAGATCACAGATTTTCAGATCCAGAAAGGGTGAACTACAAATTTGAAAGTGGGCCTTGGTAAGTACTTCCTCCCTCTTCTTATTGCACATGTTTCAACCCCACCACTTTTTGTTTAAAGTTATTGTTTAGATCAGCTGTGGTCCTCTCTTTCTAATTTGCCAGTAGCTGTTACCATTATATTTATTTACCTTCCCACTGCTATGGGAATTGATTAGATCCTTCCAGTGGGAAAGGGAACAGACAATTTATGATCAGATGCAAGCCTGTTTTCTTGTTAGGCTTCAGTGTTGCCTGTTAGCTGCTGAGAATTCTGTGTTCTGCTTGTAAGTGCTTATAATGGATGCTAAGTGTGTTGTGCTATTAACAAAGAATGTAAGCAGTGTTTCAGAAATAACCCCTTATAGTTACAAACTCTTACACTCTTTCTGCAATTTACTACACAGGTACTGCATGTACATAATTTTTTTTTTAATGGGGAAGCAACACTTTCATAGAGATACTGTGCCAGAAATACTATGCTATCACTCAGTTCTTTAAAGTACAGTGATTCTTATTCCCAAATATGTTTTAAACGTAAAGCTTTGTCCGCTTTTGATGCCTGCTTTGTTGCTTGTGTGGTTGTTTTTTGTTTTTTTTTAACGTAACTGCATTTTTTCTATTTGTAAATACAGACTTTTCTCAGTGGTTTTCTCTGATTTCTCTGCAATATCACAAGATACTGGTGTTAAACTGACCTTATTTATATTCCCATCTTGCACAAACACTTCCCTCTTTCATATTAAGGATCTGTCATAATGGTAGATGATGCTTATACATTTGAGTTAAAAATAGTAAGAAAAATGCAACACTGGCAGAAAGTATCCAGAGAGATTAGCTCAGGGGCTATGTTCAGCCTTGTTCTAAGCTTTTTCCTTTTTGCTAACAAAATTCTGGGATGAAGTGTGAGATTCACATTTTATTTGAGATAATGAGAAAGTACAGAACTAGGAGGCAAGGGGGAACAGTTTGAGACAGACAGCTACAGAAAGGCCACCTGAGAAATTAAAATGTGAGTGAGAAACATGACCCTCCAGGCATACCACAGCCCTTTTGTATGAGGGAGTCCTCTGCTACTGAACAACACTTCATCTACTCTAATCACTTAAGCTCTTCCCTGCAAAAAAGCTGTTCCTGTGATAGCCAGAAAGGCAGGCTTGGGTAGCTGTGATCGTTTTGTTGTACTTGACACTTTCAAGAAGTAAGAGAACAAAGAGACTGCAGTAATGACCAATTAAACCTGGCTTTCTGTGGCTAAGCTATTCCCATGCTAAGCAGCCAATGTAGCCTTTAGCTATATTAATCTTTAGTAGTACAGTGATGGCCTGAACCAGGAATGTGAAGGCTGAACTCTTCAGGCCAGAGTCCTGTGTGTGCTGAGTACAGCCCTGAACAGATTTGTCTTGGCTTGTGACAGGTTCTTATACACTGTCACAGTAGAAATAATATGCACTAATCTCGCTTACATGTAATTGTTCTGCTTCAATTTCTACCTAGCTAGATTAGAACAGCGAGTACTTGATTTTTATACCAGTAACCCTCTTCAGATAACGGAGAAGCACAAATGATGTCAGGAGAGGGAAGTAGATTGGAAACATGATTAAACAGATGACAGCTCAAAGAGCAAATGTGGTAAAGCCAGAAAAGGGGAACTTGGAAAGGGGTAACTTAATAAAGCAAACTTTCCTTTGGAGAGATTTGTACAGTGGCTTTTGTGGCACTTGGGCCTCACTGCCTTGGCACTGCCATCCAGTAGACACAGAGCAGGGACAGAAGCCTGTTCCCAGAGTACAAACAACAAGTGGACAGGCTGGTGTGTGGCAGATACCAGAGGCAGATGTCTCTGCATTACTACTTCTTTCTGTGCCTGCAGCAGCAAGATGGAACTTGTGGACAACAATGCTGTTATCCGAGCAAGAGGATTGCCATGGCAGTCATCTGACCAGGACATAGCAAGATTCTTCAAAGGTCTAAATATTGCCAAGTTAGTAGCTAATAATTTACTTGCACATTTGTAGCTTTTCAGCTGCATAGGTCATGGTGTTTCATCTCTTGATTTAAATTTTGCAGAGGGGGTGCTGCACTCTGTCTCAATGCCCAAGGTAGGAGGAATGGGGAGGCTCTTGTGAGGTTCGTAAGTGAAGAGCATAGAGATCTAGCACTACAAAGGCACAAGCATCACATGGGGAACCGATACATAGAGGTGGGTGACATGATGGCCTTTGAAATCCTCTTCTCAAAAGGAATGCGTATTACATGCCTATCACGTGTTCCTTTTTTTTTTCCTTTAGGTATACAAGGCAACAGGTGAAGACTTCCTTAAAATTGCAGGAGGTAATTTTTAGGGGGTGGAAAGGGATGGTTTGTTCCATCAGCATCTCCAACTTTTGGCTGCAAACTGTTCCTGGTAAATGTGGCCCTTTTTTCTGCCTTTGAACAAGTAGTTGGCTGGTGTATTGATTACTATGTATTCTGCTTGCAGCAGTCCAAGATGATCCATGATTTATCCGTCTGCCTCCCTTCCACATTCTTGCCATTTTCAAGTGGCCTGTCAATCAGGATTTGATTGGGCAAAATGATCTTTTATATGAACTTAATTTGCTAGGTCACCTTCATGATAATGGGAATCTAAATGTTATTTAAAAGAAATTAAACCAGATTAGTTATTTGAAACAATGTAACTGCTGTTGCTGTGGAGGCTTGCATAAAAACAAACAGATATCATAGTGTAAATACAAGGGGTATATGGAACTGATTTTCTTCAAACCTTTGCCTCAAACTTAATGGGGAGGATTTAGGGGAAATGCTTATTTAAGGGGAATCTTGAAATATTTGCTGATAATTGAAAGGCTGCACAATTTGCTCTTCAAACTCTTTCTTGGTCTCTTTTCCTCCCCTTTTTGTCTGCAAGCATACAAAATTTGAATTAAGAACCAATAAGCTGTTTTATCTGCAATATTACTTTAAGGTCCTCATATCTTCCTAACAGAGATTTGGGCTGAGGTTTGTAAGTCACTAACTGGATATCTGAGGTTGAGGCTTCAGAGTGGGAGAGGCTGTTGATCTGTTAACTACATAGCTAACTGATAAGTTTGGTGTAGTAGTTACGCCATTCAAACTAAAGACATTGCACTGTGGCATTTGTGAATAATGGTGCATATCTGGTAGAACATAAGAGAGCTGCAAGTGAAAGGACTGTGTTTGATTGCTAGATACTAGTAGATACTAGTTTGATTAGCAGGTACCTTTGAATAAGGTAGTGTTATTAGCATCACTTGTCTTCTAAGGGTACTGAAAGTAGAATTGGCAGACTTTGACAGTTCTGTTAGGATAGGATGAAATCCCTGAGTTGTTTTCAACATGCTCTTCCAGCTTTCTTTTTCCAGCACAATGACCTGGGTACTTGGTTGCCCTATATTATGGCTTCAGAACATGCCAGACATATTCCAAAGTTAGGCTAGGGGCACAGTAGCACAGGTCCTGCTCACACAAGAGATTGACAGATTGTGCTTTCCTTTGGCTTTGAACGTTGCAAGTATTTCCTATTTTTCCTTTGAATAAAGATTAATTTCCTCTAAATGATGGACTAAATTACTGTACTTTAATGGGAGGTGTCCTATACAATACATCTAGTTTATCTGAGGGTCATCTTTCCTGACTTTAGAGGTGAAAACTGTTCCACCTGCTCAAAAACCGCCTGTTGAGAGGATGTAGCTATGCTCATGATTCTACATGGTTGCCTAGACTGAGGTTCTTCTGTACTTTTTCTTGTTAAAGGTACTTCCAATGAGGTTGCACAGTTTTTGTCGAAAGAAAACCAAGTGATTGTCAGGATGCGAGGTCTTCCTTTCAATGTAACAACAGAAGAAGTGCTGACTTTCTTTGGCCAGCACTGCCCTGTAACAGGAGGAAAGGAGGGAGTCCTGTTTGTTACTTACCCTGACAGCAGGCCAACAGGGGATGCCTTTGTCTTGTTTGCTTGTGAGGAATATGCACAAAATGCACTGAAAAAGCACAAGGATTTGCTGGGGAAAAGGTACATTGAACTCTTCCGTAGCACTGCAGCAGAAGTTCAGCAGGTAGGTGGAAACCTCTCAAACATTGGCTTTTTGTAGTCCAAACTTCTATGCTGGCAGTAGAGGAAGCAAATAATGCTTGGCGTCGACTTGAAATCTTCTTTTACCTTTTCTCACTCTTGACTCTTGTTGGAATGAGTATTGTCTGAATTTCTGCAAGACTGCTCTCTTGAAATGTTAAACCTTGTGGTATAGGGATGTTCTCAATCATACACAAATCTTTGGGGTTTTGGATTTCAGTAGCTTTGTAAAATGTGGATGTGGGTCTAGTGCTTTATACTACATAGTCAAATTCAGAATAAGTCCAATGACAGTCTATTAAGAAGGAGTGTTTAGCAACAAATCTTGAGCTAAAAGATTTGTCTTGAGTCATTGACACAAAAAAGCAAAGCTTTTTTTTTAGTTGTCCTCTCCAGTGTAATGTATCTGAAGAATTCTACAAATTGTCTTTAAGGGCAGATCTCTGGCATCTTCTGCAAGCACAGGCTACCAAGCAGAGAGTGGCAGGACTTTGAAGCTGAGGAGTCTGGCTTAACTGGGCTTGGTGGACCATTAATTGCAGCTAAGCTGTCAGAGAAAGGAAAGAGCTGAGTGGACTGTTTTATGTCTCCAAAAAAAGATTTTCAGAGCTTTAGTTGGCATAAGTAACTTCTGGACATTATTCAAAAAGGTATCATCTATGATGCAGATTGTAGCCATGTCATTATACCCAAGAAATGATGCAAATTTGTGTTCTCTCCAATATATAGAGATTGAAGTGCCTTGTTTAAAAGGTGACATTAGAGATGAGAAGGCAGAGCCACAGTGCTCACTCGTCATTGCATTTTTCTCAAGTACTCTCATATGTTTCTTTGTTTAGTAAAACCTTCTGATAGCTGTACAAATGTAAATAAATCTTATTCTTGCTCAGAGAGAGTTCAGGAGTAGCAATTGAATATTCAGGGAACTTTTCACCAGACAGATTTTGCTGTTAAAATTATTAACAAATCTCCAAGTGTGTTGCAGGTGCTGTGACTCGGTAATGCTCCTAATGTTTCTGGAATAGACTATGGCAGGCACAGTTAGGGATGTGTGATAGTGAAATGTGCTTCTAGTTCCCAAACTCTCCTAAAGTTTTGCAGAGGAGATATTTTTGGATAGAAGTGCCATCATGACTTTGTAGATGGTGAAATGTTTTAGGATAGTTTCACAGTAAAAGTAATGTAGATATACAAGTCTCATTACAGGTTCTGAGATCTCTATTGAGACTTGCATTAGCTGTTCAAGTAAATTTCCCAAAACACAACCGTTTTTCAAGAAGAAAATGACCCAAATTTTTGTAAAACAATAGCATGACTATTTACTGTAGAATGACTACAGAAGTGTGCTAGATTCTGAGCTTAAACCACAACACAGTGCTTGGAATTCAAATGCTTTACAGCTAATATTTGTATCTAGCTCACTTGTTTCTTAAGATACTGCCTAGAGTGAAAACAGCTGTCATTGGGGTTACATTAACTCCTAAACTGAAGAAGGAATAAGGAGGCTTCTGTTATCTGTTTTTGTTTTGCACAGGTGCTGAACAGGTACTCTTCCACACCTCTCATTCCTCTCCCAACACCTCCAGTTCTTCCAGTATTACCTCAACAATTTGTGCCTCCCACTAACATCAGAGACTGCATACGTTTGCGTGGTCTTCCCTATGCTGCTACTATAGAGGACATTCTGGAGTTCCTGGGAGAGTTTTCTACAGATATTCGGACCCATGGAGTTCACATGGTATTAAATCACCAGGTTGGTAGGCAACATGTTTCTAGCCACTCTGCTAAATGTTTGTATATATGAATACAGTCCTAATGGTGATATTCATAGGGAAGCACCTTTGGGATTAGCAGTAATGGTATTAATGGGCCTCCAGCTCTCTTCTAAAAGTGTACTGCCAATAGATGACCTGAACCCTGCTGTGCCAGTGGATACATTTGCTGTAGAGTGGTTTCTTTCACTGAGATCCACGTGCTGAAAGCTGAGCCGTAGTCTTGGAGGGAATAGTGCTCCCAGAAGAGCAGCCATGATCCTGACCTGTAGGAGGCTTGAACTGGAGTCTTACTCAACAGCATGCATGATTCCTCTTGTACCTGGTGAGGAGTGCCATCAAAACACAAGTGTGGGCAGTGTTAGCTCTCAGAGGAGTGGTTTGTCCCTGCCTTGCTGAACAATGTGCTGTGAGTATATTTGAGGATAAATGTGACTGCAGCCTTCTAGAGGCAGGAATTCCTATGTCAAAAGTCAGAAACTGAAGCTTTGGGTTTCTTGTGTTGTTGCTTTCTTTAAACAGTCACAGCTAAGCACCAAGATTAACAGCTCATTGATGTGTATAACCTGTCACATCTTTGCCATTGTTTTCTGGAAGCAGTTTCTACCAAAATCTTTTAGACAAAGGATTGTGCATTCTTGTGATCTTTATCTTTCTATTCTTGTGACTTCAGGGGGGAGGAGTCCTTAAACTCTATGGAGGTGTTCTGAGTGGTTCAACGGAACAAACTGATTATTGCTGTATAAAAATGATGGTTCTAAAACTATTTAACTTAGGCTTAATGTCAACCAAAACTAAAAAAATACTTCCTGGTCCCAAAGTAGGACTTCTGTGTTTCAGGAATGTGAGGATGGAGAAGGGACTGTAGTTATTTCAGTACTTGTCTATCTAAAGACATGCCTGTTTTTGTGGAGACTTGACCTAGACAAAGCTAAAAAACTGTAGGTAATTTGCAGTGCTGGGAGAGACTAAGAAAAGTGCAGATATTAAAGCACATATAATGATTTACAGTAATGTCAGCCTTTGACAGCACTAAAGAAGGAACCTGGATGAAGAAGTTGGTGTGTGCATATAACCCTAAGGGATGTCTGCCACCCTTGCCCTGCATAAAACGATCAGGCTTTTTTTTTCTCCCCAAATACTGCATTTGCCTGACTACTAGATTTTTATCTTTCTCCATGTTCCCAGGTTTCAACCCTCTAATCATGAACAACTGTGTAAAGGATGCTGATAAAGTTGTCTCCTCCAAAATGAGAGGAGCTGGCCCAGAACTTGAGTTAGAGCTGATGTCAGATCTCTCTCTAGTTTTGGTTACTTCAAATCAGCAGCTGCATGTGGCTAAAATAACTCCTCCCAGTGATGTATCCCACTCGTTTACAGATACAAAAATGTCAGTGTTGTTTTTTTTCTTCAAGCTCATACCAAATGTTAGGCTAGTTAGTACTCTACTAAAACATCACAGCCCATGTTGGTCTTCAGAAAATAAAATTTAAAACAAATTATTTAGCAATAAGTACTTGACTGGATTTTTATCCTTGAATTTTAAAAATCACAGGTAATAAATGGGGCCTAGATCTTCTAATTCTGCATTTGTAATAAATTTGTAAGAGCAGGTCTCGAAGCACCAAGGTACTCCTGAATTACAGTCCTCTCCCATAGGTGTCACTTTTTTTTTTAGATATGTAAGTAACGAGTTACAATGCAGCTTAATCAAAACAGGTGAATAAATACAATCAAGTTATCACAAGTAAGAAGAACATTGGAGAGGAGAGCTTAAACATGCTGATGAGTGCTCAGGATGACTGACTGCACTTGACTTTGGAGATGAATGTACTTATGACTGAAGAGACTGCTTATCACAGCACAAATTATTGCTATGCTGCTTCTTCATGGAATCTACAGAAACATTTCTTTTTTGTCTGCCTTGTTTGTAGGGGCGTCCATCGGGAGATGCTTTCATTCAGATGAAATCTGCAGATCGAGCTTTCCTGGCTGCACAGAAATGTCATAAGAAGACCATGAAGGACAGATATGTTGAAGTCTTTCAATGTTCTGCTGAAGAGATGAACTTTGTATTAATGGGGGGCACTTTAAATCGAAATGGCTTGTCCCCGCCACCATGTAAGTTACCATGTAAGTTTTGCTTGGGTCTTGCCACTACGGTCTACACTGTGTATGGGTAGGTATTGGAGCTGCCTTGCTGACTCTGATCCTGGTTCTTGGAAAGCATTGTCAGATGGAGGGGTTAAAATAAGGTCTTTAGTCTTCAATCATCACCAGCTTGCAATCATTATTTTTCCCTTTGGTTGTGAATTATTTAGTTTGAAGAACTGCTTTTGCTTTTCTAATGGCAAATTTCCCTTCCCTCCCTGAAACTTTAATTGGTTGGGGCGAGTGATGATTCTGAAAAGTAATTTCTAAGCCCTGCCTAGACCTTAAAGAACTGTTTTGTATTTAAACTGTTCTGTACTTATATTTTTTCATCATGATGAACATGTCAAGCAAAAGATCTTCCCTTTTCACTTCCAAAACTTAATTTGAGAAGCCATAAGTAATTCTCCCCTTTGAGACTTAATCACATGTTCTTTTGAACCACGACTGACTGAATTCTTCCTTTACTTTTTGTTCTTCATATGGAATGGAGGTTGGCTTTGTGGGAGTGAAACACACATGGCTTCTGCCTCAGAATTGCAGAATCTGTATTTCCTTTTAAATTTTGATTCTCAGAGCTACTAGGATGGACACTGACTTCGGCACAAACTTTTGGAGGAAATGCTTTAAGAGCTTGAGGGCTAACTTAGTAAGCATCTGTGCCACATAAATCTGAGCCTATGGGAAAAATAATACTTTGCTTCCAAAATCATAAATGGCAAGGTAGTTAAGTAGTAGCTTTTTCTGTGTGACTCTATGCAAGTGTGTTTTTTGGTTTTTTTTTGGTGGTGGACTTTTTAAGAAATATCCTCTACATGATATTTGGAGCTGCCAGTACAACAGCATATCACCTGGGAGTGGTTTCTTTTGAGTGCAAGTAGACCTTCAGCTCATCCTTGGGAGAGTTTTTCAATGAAAGTGTCTTGAGCAGGGGTCAGCAGTAGATAATCTTGTGTGATTGCTATTTCAGATGGGTTGGAACCTTCTGAGAGTTTCTAGGATAGGTTCTTGGGCAGAGTCACAAACTTTGGAAACACACAGGTGTCAGTGTTCCCATTTCCAGTTACAAATGGCCTCTGATGTATTCCTCAAATAGGGCCTTTTAGCACTTACAGTCATGCTGGCTGTAGCTCTGAATAGCAAAATTAAAGGCTTACTTTAGATAAAGCTTTATGTTCACTTCTTTGGCAGTGGGGAGGAGAAGAGGAAAGTAAAGGAAGAGAATGGCAAAGGAGGAGGGTGAACTCCCATGAGTGAAAATTCATTTAGGGCCTAACATCTATCAAGATAGCACAAAGGGCACTTTTGGTTTGTTCTTTTTTTAAATTCAGTGTTAACACTTCAGGCTGCAAAGCCATGACTTTCCTCACTCTGCTGTTGTTTAATTAAGGGATAAGCAATACCAGGATGAAAGTCTTCTCTCTTTTGTTGACTGTTAAATAGATCTTTATCAAGGAAGTTTTCTTCTTACCATGGAGAAGTCTCATAGTTCTTGAATGCAGACTTCATTAAAATCTGAGCCTAGACAAGCAAAGCTGACCTATATATCAGAAAGAGACCCTCTTCCCAGAGCAAGAGGTGGCTTTTTGTATACTTTTGACTTTACTGTTGACTGGAGGCGGGGTGCAACACTTTGTAGTCACGCTCACATTGGTGGCTTCTGTTTATTTTCTGTGGTGAACAAGGATAAGAAGATTGTGAAGGGTCTTGATGTATACTGTGGAGTTGTGTATGTATGGTCTTCATTAGCTCTGGAATTTCAGAGGTCCTAACCTATTTTCCATTTGCTTCCTGTAGGCCTTTCACCCCCTACCTACTCGTTCCCAGCTCCTGCTGCAGTTGTGCCAACAGAAGCTGCTCTGTATCAGCCATCCATGCTTCTGAACCCACGAACACTCCAGCCCTCCACAGCCTACTACCCTGCTGGGGCTCAGCTCTTCATGAACTACACAGCATATTACCCCAGGTAAAGCAGAGGAGAACCCAAGCAGCAACAAAGAAGTCTTTTTCTTTTTTAATTGTCTCCAGCAAATGCACAAAGCTCACAAAAGAACATTGTCTGCTCTGCTAAGGACTTGTGATACCAAGAACAGCTTGTTCGGTATCTTGTTCAGGGAAAGAAAAATTCAGGATAACTAGGAATTTTCCAAGTTTTAGAGTATTGCAGGTAGCAGTGTTTGGGGGGCAGGGGGGTTGGTTAGTGTGTTTTGGTTTTTGTTTTGGTTTTTTTTTAACCTAGGACACACATTTAAGTGGGTTATTTTTTATTGTTTTTGTTTCACCTAACACTCCTCTTAAACTTATTAGTTTGCTCTATTATGCCCTCAGTGGGAATTGATGTGTGCAGTACTCGTTCCCATGTCCATAAAGAAGCCCTTGGCCCCTCCTTAGAATGTATAGCCTTAACTTTTGAAATACTGCCACTTTGTTTTTGTAACAAAGTAACTTTTCACCGTTATGATGAAAACTGTTTACTTCTATGTATAGGTATTGTAATGAATGCATATGTAAATCATATAGAGGCATATATTCCTCCTGTCCTCATAAACACCTCTCACAAAGGGCTTTTGGTTCTTCTGGATATATTAGCTATCTGCTAGAGAACAAAATCCCTGGATACCTGTTGCCCTCTGCAGTCATGAGGCCCTGGAAGGAACCATGTTCCCTTTAAGCCATAAACCATTTCTCATCTGTTAGGAAATCTGCTAAACAATTCAAGTTTATTTCTGCAGCAGGGACCAAATAGCTACTTAGGAAGTTGTTAAGCAATATGAGCTTTTCAATACCTGTAAGATAACAAAGGTTTTCTTATTACTTTACCTATATGTCTGTGAAATGACTGTTGTGGTTTTTTATTAAAGTGTTTCCTTCACTCATGAGTTATTTTCTATAATGGCTTCAATATCTGTTTTATGATTATGATAATATTACCAAACTCAGCCTTGTTAATGTAAGATTAAGAAAAATAAAATTCCAAACTTGCACTGGCAATATAAAACAAGGTTCTCAATAACAGTCCTATATTTCATGAAAACATAGTAGCAGTAATAATCTGTGGTTACTGACATGTTTTACTTCTTAAGCTAAGTATAGACTGGCCACTGCAGGCTAAATGTCAGGCCCTAGTGATTTCTCACTGAATGAGAGAGATGGGATATGAGTCCCATCACTGGCTGCTTGGGCTGTGGGAATGTATGTTGGTCACAGACTGATCCATCTCAAGTCCCAAAATATCCTTTTTATATTCTTGTCTAACTGGCAGTTGCTCTCACTGTTTTTAGGAAAACATTATTGCACAGCTTCTCTGCCAATTAGAAATACTGCCCTTTTAAAGAAAATAAGGAAAAAATCTGGAGTCAAGTTGGCTTTTTACTTTGTTGTGAGATTTGGTGTTTAGGTATTGCTTTTCCATCCAGAGTAAATCTTTGATCTACAGACAATTTGTATATACTCCAGACAATGTAGTGATTTTGTAGCTGATGTTTTGGGCTTGTTTGTTTTTTGTTCTGTTTTTGTTTTTTTAATTCTTACTGCTTTTGAGGCAAGTTTCTGTGCTTTGTCCGAGAATCCAAAAAATAATTGGATCCATTTGAGGTAGCAATCAGAACTCTCTTAAATATAGCTTTCTGGTTCTGTAGTTTAATTCAAAAATTAGGTATGTACAGCAGGAAAGAATGGGGTGTCCTCTGTACTAAGTGTTCCATTTAAAAGCATGTCCAGGAAAAGCAATATAGAGCTGGTAGGTAATGATCAGACAGTGCTTCATAAATCTTACTGCTGAATATTTATAGAAATAAGGCAAATTTCTTTGAGCTGTTGCCAAAGCTTCTACAACTTGTTTTGCAAGGTCAAGTTGCTTTATTATAGTCCAACTCCCTTTTCCACACAGTGATCAATTTAAAAGGTGGGTAGGAGGGAGATACTGGTTTGGTCTTTAGTACCTATCAGAAATCCTGAAATTCTCAGACTTGCCTTAATGCTCTTAAGACTTTGGTGATGAAATCAGTGGTGAAAAGAAATGGATGCCTTCTAAGCTATTAAAATAGCTTTAGTGAACTCCCAATGAAAGGGAGGGCGAGCAAGTTATTCGGGATCTGACAGTCTTTGATATCACTGTTCAGCTTGTAATTATATCTGGCAACATGTTCTGACAGCAAATCAGTGGTCTTGCTCTCTGTCTAGTCCCAAGCTTTTAAGAAAGAACAATAGGATTTCTGGGAGGGAGGAGTTTTCCTTTATCTAATCCTAGGTATACTAGGGGCTGTACGTACATTGGAAATGATAACTGCACTACTTGGCAATTGCTAACACATCCTATAAAAACTTTTACCACAAACAAACTTAAAAGCTATTGCTACAGGGTAAACAGTTTTTAAACAAAATTGAATCTTATTGTATTTATTGAGTTCTAATGCCATTTTTATCACTTTTAAGCAGTGCCTTTAAAGCTTCAAAAGTATCTGTCAAAATCTGTACATTTACACTTTTAACTTTTAAAAAAAAAAAAAATTAAATAGCATGGTGGAAAGAGAAGCTTCTTAATTGTAGGACTCATAGCCAAAACATGATATGGAAACTGAAACCTGGTGTGGGTTCAAACAAACTGGATAAATTCCATGGCAGGAAATTCACTGTGGGTTAGTGAATACACAGAAACCACACCTGGCTCAGGAAGTCCTTGAACTCAAAATAACTGGAAGAGTGTTCTTGTGATCTGTGTCCTACAGTAAATTCTTGTGCCTTTGAACCAAGGTGGGTAGGTAAACTTGTCTGTTCACACTTTTGTGGGACTCATCTCAAAAGATACAGGTACTGCTTGAGAGCATGGGTCTTCCAGTGTGTCTGTCTAATAGTGGCTAAGTTGGGGTTCTCACTTTTGTGCCAGTGTGTGCATTTCTCTCCACTGAAGTGGTTTGAGTTAAAAGGCCTTTTTGTGTGATAAAGGTATGATTCTGACACTTGCTGCACAAGGAAATACAGGGTAATGTCTTGGTATTCTCATCTGCTTATGTCTCTTCCTGCTCTGGATAAGGTATGGGTTTTCTCATTATACACTAATAACCTTGTAGAAGTATACATATAGCATTAATATTTATGTATGCATACATGCAGAAGTATGTATGTATAAAAGTAAAATGACCAGTCTGAGCAATAATCAATGTTAGAAAAAAGTCTCATTCTGTGATGAATCAGATTCTCCATAATTATCATGAGAAACATGTTAGTCTTTTCTAACCTTGATTATTGCTCAGATTCTTATTGAAGCACAATTAAGTTACAGAGAGTTTAAAACTGGCAAACCTAGGAACAAGTGGGCGATACCATTCAGAGCTGCTGCCAACAGCTTTGTTTACATATCTCTGTCTGGCTAACCAGCATCACTTGACAGAACTGGGTTAGGAAACAACCATATGTGTATTTAGCCTGGGAGCTCTGTCACAGATGGAGAACAGCAGCAGCCAGAAACAAAACCTCTTTTAGTTGTACTCACAGCATCACATCAACACTCTGGACCACAGCTATTAAACTCATGTGATTTTGTTTTTATTATTATTTTTATGCTAAGTATGTTGTCTTGGGTTACATGAAATCACATCTGCAGTGATAGGCTCACTGGATATAAAGGTTTATTGGTGGCTTTTAGTTGCTGTCCAGCAAATGGAGTTCAAATGTTTTAAATTGTGTCTGAACCTGGGACTCTTCTCTACTTGTCCTTGTTTTGTTGAGCTGCTCTCCATCATGAATTTTTCAATATAACCTTAACTCTTTAGCTAATGTCACAGATTTGTCACCAGAATGATTGTTTGGGGGGGACACTTCATGATTCACTTTGAAAATAAATGTAGCTTGACAAGGATAAGAACAGCAGGGATGCCTTTAACTACTGCTGTATTTCATTGGAGGGAGGAGTGCATTAGCAGGGAAGACTAATTGTTGCGTGCTTCCGTAGGCTGTCATTATCCCTTCATTTGTAGGTTTTAATTAGGAAAACTGCCATGGTATGTGGAAACAGCAGAACAGTAATGCTCCGATCAACAGCTATCTGGATATCAGGATAGTAAAATTATTTAAATTAAAAAACTAAGCAAACTCCACCTTTCTTCAAAGCTGGTAAGCCTGTTAAAGTCTTGTTGCTGGTAGCAGTGTCCAAGTTTTTAATCAGCCCACCATACAAAATGCTGCCATGGAGACTGGTGGGGATGTCTTCCTTTTGTTTCCTTAATAGACTCAGTGACTTGATTTTCAGGTAGCAGCTCTTACTGTCATCTTCTGACTGTTTCTCTGCTAACTAATAAAACATTTGGAATTGTATGAGGGATTAATTGTTACATCAACATTGCGCAAGCTTGCTGCAGAGATCAGTTTGAATATAGTTTTTCCTTTTGCCTATTTACAACACAGTTCAGTGGTGGGAGAGATCTGCCCATTGTGCCTGAGGGCATGTGTGTCATCCATGCAGGTGGCTTTTTAAAACATTTGCAATGATCTCAGGTTGTTCATGGCACCAAGGTACACTGCAGGATGCTTCACTTTACTCAGAAGCAGCCTTCTACAGGTGTGTGTTGAAAGTTCCAGGGCAGACTATTGCAGTCCTCTGTGGCAGAGCTTCTGGATCCATTCCCCCTGCTTATTGTTGTCGTGCTACCATGAATTTACCCAGCTGGGAAGTTGATTTCAGTAGGCAGAGTGGGCAGCAGATTATCTGGTTAAATGTGGGGAAGGCATCTGTATTGAAGGAGCTTTGTGTGTTTCCAGGAATAGAGCTAGGTTGATCTTGGAATAAGACTTCTTAGAGCTGAAGGCTTTTTTTTTTTTTTGCTTTTTTTTTTTTTTAATAAAAAAATAAAAAAATTTTTCTTTTTT